GCCATGCCATCTGAGGGCTCACACCGTACATCCAAAAACCACACATCAGATTCAGCACCATATAGAAATGGCACTGATTGAACTCAATCAGTGCCATTTCTAAAGCGGCTTGTAGATGCTTGTAGCTCTGCTTCAACATCTGGATACACTCACAATCTCCTCACGCGGGCCGTCTGAATTTCAAACATGATTGATTTTCATTCCACCATAAGATTCCAGATTGTGAGTTGGTCGTGAGAGGCTTATTAACCCTTGTTAACCCCTGTACACCACATGACGCACAATTATGCTGAAACTCCCCACACGGTGCCTGTGCACCGTGTGGGGACATGGTACTTTGTGAGTTCTTCTTCTTCTTCTTATGGGATTTTATGGCGGTTGGCAGACTTGTGAATTGTGCATTACCGCCACCAACTGATATGGAGTAAAGCAAGAAAACAGGAAACGATTCACCCCCCCAAAAAAAAAAAAAAAAAAAAAAAAAAAAAAAAAAAAAAAAAACCTGTGTAACTTAAACCAACATAATACTAAATCACATTTGCCCATATAATTTTAATTTACTCTAGGTCATCTTAACTCTGCCAGTTTCTGATGGTCCCATCGGTCCTCCCATCATACTTCCAACCATCTCCCAGTTCAAATCTTTAATGTCCAGATATTTTTCTGCAGCCTTCACTATTATTTTGATTTTTTCCGTTTTTTTTGTTGTCTGTGCAGTACAATTAATAACTTCTACCATGAAAAGAACAAAATTTGTCTTTTTAACAATAAGTGAGTCTTCATCAATTTTTAGAGATTTCTCTAGAGGTTTGGAATTTGCTGTGTGTTGAACTGTAGGTTTGGGTTTTTCTGACTGAGATGGGATCCTTTTTGCAGCTTCAGCGTAGGTTATTCCGAGCTCAAATTTCATTTTTTTAATTTCCTCAGACCTTTTGCTTGCTTCACAGCCGCGATAGGCAGCAGTATGTTCTCCACCACAATTACAGCATTTTATTTTAGCTTCTTTTCCACATTTTCCGTACTCATGTTCTCCTGCACACCTTCCACACCTCTGTTTCCCTTTACAAACTGCTGCAATGTGACCGAATTTTTGGCATTTGAAACATCTCAATGGTGGAGGATTGTAGATTTTGACATTATAGCTTATGTAACCGATGAATACTTTGCTTGGTAATTGCTCTTCTTCGAATTTAATTAGCACAGATAAACTGTCAGATCTTTCTCCGTTTCTTGTTGTTTTTAACCGTTTTACTTCTTTTACTTTTGCACCTCTTATGTTTTCCAGAATCTCTTTTTCAGAAATTTTTAGAGGAACTCCTCCAATGACTCCCCTGCTGAACTTTTTGTTCTCCATTAAGCTGCACTGAACTCTTATCCCGTCAATTTTGTTGATCCGTATTGCTTTGCCTTGCTGGGCGCTGTCTCTGCAGATAATTAGCAGGTCTCCACTGTACAGAATTCTGGCACCTCTGACTTCTCCGACAAGTTTATTGATGGTTTTTGTTAAGTGAACCGGATTCCAATTTGTAAAAGAGTCTGCCTGATTAACGACTTTGAATATGACTTTGAATTCATTTTGTTGTGCTGTGGAATGTATGGAATGATCATCACTGGATTGTTCTGAACTAGATTCCCCTTGAACTGATCTCTGTTTTTTCCGCTTTTTCTCATTTTTTGATGTTGCTATCTTCCAACCTTCATTGTCACTATTTCCCTCTTCCATCCCACAAGAATCGCTTCCTGTTTCCTCACTACTCACGGCCCAAGACATTTCTCCATAAGCAGCTTCAAAACACGCGCCATGCACCAAACGACCATCCACATGCAATCTTTCCGGCCTTCCACCCGAACTAGTGTCGGAGGAAACACATGCGCTTTATCATAGGTCCGCTGTTCCAAAATAGTTAAAAACAATCCGAAGGACTTTGGCTCTGTTCGAAAACCTAGGACGGGTCCTCCAAGGACGCGGTCTACCCCCCTTTGTGAGTTCTTGCAAAGCATTCTGGGATATATCTGCTCGTCCAGTGACCATCGACGTCCTCTAATTGCTAAGCTGTGTTGTTGGAAATTTTGAGTGCACTAGTTTTTCATCCACTCGATATTCGGACACCCCTACATCCGTTGTTCCTCGTTCCTCAGAACCTTCATTGTGCTTTGCCAAAACCAAAACCTGATCAGTAACCAATCAGCTCCTAGTCTACCTCATTATATCACCTATATCTGTTCCTTTTAATTGTGATTTAGGGCCACTGAGTCATTCTGGATCTCACCTGTTGTTAAGGTGCATACCTTTGTCCATATGTCTGTGGTCAATAAAAATCCATAATTAAAATAAAACCTTGGCACACAGCTCAAATATGTTTAAAATACCAAAACAAAAACATGCAGTATTGAGCCACAACAGCCTAGAAAGAAGACAGTTCCTGTCACTTTGTGAAATTCAGAGCACTTTGCTAGATGATATTACAGTTTCTAAAAGTAGATTGGGAATCAGATGTAGAACCGTCTAATAGTTCAGCTCTGTGAGGCAGACAGTCAGTCTACTTATAAGGCTGGGCTTAAAACTATCCTTTTAGATTAAGCTTACAGTTAGAGTGACTCAGGTTGTCCTGAGCTATCCCTATAGTTATGCTGCTTTATGCTTAGACTACTGGAGGACATAGGGACCACTTTTCATCATTCTGCATCATTCTATTTCTATACTCTCATTCTGCAGTATTTAATATTCTCTGTCATAGTAGCTTCATCGGGTCTGTTCCTGTTTGGCTTTGACATCATCCTGGAGGGAAATATTAGCCGGCTACTGCCAACGACATCTTCCACAATATATGATACGATCGGCAGGTTTTTCAGTACTTTTCAGTACCCCAGTCCTGTTTTTCTCTTAAATATAGGTATTGGTGCAGTTTTTTATCTGACTAACAGCATGTGCTCTCTTTCATCCCTTTTGATATGAAAACTTGCTTTGAGCTCCTCTGAGGGTTTTTTTCCCTCTGTTAATTTTTCAGACAGAGCCCCCCGTGGAGCTAGTTTACCATTACCTTTTCAAACATATAAAGTATGCATTAGTGCTTCTATGTTGCTTATGTATGTTTGCTTCTGCCTCCTTGAACCCACAGTCAGCTTCGGCAGACAACAGCCCATACTGCACCTGGTTCTGGTTCTGCTGGAGTTTTCTTTCTGTCAAAAGTGATGTTTTCCTCTTCGGTGTTGCTGCATGTGTGCTCGGTGTGAGGGATTGCTGTAGAGTCAACAACACAATGCAAGCAACTGTCTACTGTCACCACCTACTCATCCAGGAGGCATGAATTCAGCAAAGTAAAGGATTCAATGCAACTGGCTAGTTTTCCTCTAATAGAAAACCTTTAACAAGTCTGTCCAAATGATTTGATGGAATTGCCTCTGTCATGGGCATTAAAACAGCATATGTTGTGAAATGGCTCTATATGAGTTAAATAAATTAAATTTGCACAGTTACTTGTGCATGTTGAATTATTTACTGCTCAGTAGATAACCTTTGAGAAATATCCAAATATAGAGATGTTCCTGACATCCACTGTGTTTAATCAATAGCTTAGATAAGAGTACTCATAACATTGTTAGAGGGTTTGCTGAAAAATAAAGAGAATCTGGGGGAATAAGTGAAATCATGTTATATAGAAATAGAAATGTATCACAACCCTTTACAGATCGGAACTACATAACTTGCATGACATGACCAAATCATTGCCTAAAATATATAGTATTTACAGATCGCTTTATAGCCAGCTTTAATCGGGAACCAATCCATTGAGCTGTGTATAAAAGAGATGTGTTGCTGTATGTTACAGTTCTGCCATCCTGCATAAGGATGTTTTGCTGTAATATGTGTTGACTTGGCCATGTGACATGGTGTATGCTGACCTGTCAGCTCTATAGACTAAACAGGGGCTGAATCATTGAGCTCTGCTGCTATAAAGTTTATCATTGAGTCTCAGTGTGGCTTTTATAGAGCTGTTGACAGACAGTCAGAGGACAGATCCTCGGTGTCTCTCTGAGTGATGTGCCCTTCGCTATTATCCTCCTGCTCTTATGGAAGGACAATAGTGATAATGAAAGTAAAAAATATCTTAATGAGGTCTTCAAAGTCACTGATGAGACTATGCCTCTTTATGAGGCAGAGTTTTCAAATAAAGAATGTTTGGGTGGACAATGTTCTCTCATTGAGAAAATGTTCCCTACTAAGCCTATAAAGCATTGTTTTCTATTCTTGTCATGGACTGACGAGCTGTCTTGCTTACTAGCTGGGAGAAACACGGACAACAGCTCTCCTCAGAAACCCTGCAAATATCTAGAGGCTATAAAATAAAGGATGTATTTCAAACACCAGCGCCACACAGATATGGTGACTAATAAAAAAAAGCCACGCAACATACATCAACACAAAAGAGAAAACTAATCATGTTTGTGCTACGGCTTGTGAATTATTGGATATGACCATACTAAATACCTTAAATCAATAGATAAGAAAACAGTCAAAAAAGTCAAAAATGCAAACTGTTGCTAAGCATCTTGTGCATAGTAAGCAAGAATAACCATATTTTAGTATTCTGGAGAAAATTGGCCCTGCATTTACAAAATACCTTCTGAATGTGTTTTATCAATATATAGCTATGTCTGCTTTAATATTTAATGTTTGATCTCATTGAACGTTCTATCTTTGTGAGGTCCACCAGTCATTGCTGCACCACATGATGCTCCCACTTCCCAAGGTATTTATAGGTGTATTTGTAATAGTGAATTTTGAGAAACTTGTGAACAATTATAATTATTCTGGCATTTAACAAATAGTAAAAACAGTGTTATAGTAATTAAAACTGAAAAAAGTTCAATTTGATTTAATCTTGCTGTCTTTTTTAGTGCAGTGTATGTTAATATCTGGTTTAAGCTGTAGAAAATTGGGCTGACGCAGTAACGCTTAATCGACGCACGGGGGCAGCCGCGTGCGCTGAGGGCACCCTGACATCAACAACATGGCGGCACCCATAAGCTTAGCCGGTAGGCTCATTTCCGCTTCCAGAAAACTGGGAACTTTTCTCTTCAGTTCAGTTGTTTTCGCCCAGGCGACCTCGGCCCCTTACATCATGGACACCAACCGACTGACCAAGGTTGAGCAGCGAACTTTAGCTCCGCTTTTTATTGTTCGCTACACGTTTCTACTTGCTGAGCAAAAAACGTGCGTTTCCATCCATAGCTGCAGATTGAGCTGTTTGTTTACAATCACTTTTCTTCTCCACAGCTGGAGTTTGCTGTTCAGATGACATGTGAGAGCTGCGCTGAGAAAATTAGAGCAGCTTTGGAGGGTATACCAGGTAAGGAAGCTTTGTTTTGTTATATTTATTCATCACTTGCTGTTTGATTGGTTGGTTTAATTATTTTACTGTGTTGTTTTTTTTAAATATATATAATTCACCTTGAGGCTATCAGAAGACTCTAAAAGAAAAGAAAAATAAGATCAGCAAATTAAGATATATATATATATATATATATATATATATATATATATATATATATATATATATATATATATATAGCAAATTAAGAACTTTAAGGCAAGGTCTTTTTAACAAAGGATTTAGAATAAGCTTTATTTCTAAACAAAGGTTGCAAAAAAACTTCTATACCTAAGCAAAAGTATGCCAACTGTATAAAAAAAGTACAAATTGAGCTCCTTTACCTAAGTTAAAGTAACTAAGTACATGTTTTACATTAGAATTATGTGTACATTTCTTTTTTTTTCTTTTTTTTTTGCCCTAAAGCATAACACATAACTTTTAAAACAAACAGTTATATGAGCAGAAAAGTGTTTATTTTGTACCTCTTTCACTCACTGTGTGGCAAGGGTGTAGCTTTGTGATGAAAGTTGGTGGACGCTCTAAGGGTGGGGGCTGAAGTTACTGCACCCGAACGCTTTCATTAGGTGTTTTAATTTTATTTATTTTATTTTATTTTATTTTAAATGAGCTGAAACATCTATTTATTAAATGCTTTCCTATTGTTGAGAACACAAGAAGACTATAATACACTGATATTTATATGTATAGGTCATTAGAGAGATGCCTTTTAATGCTTTACATATATAGGGCCCAAAAATATTAATGTGTCAAAAAAAAAAAAAAAATCAAATAACAGCTGATTCCGATGCCAAAATCGATTTATATCATGCATCCTTAGAAGTACAATTTCAATTCCATCCATCCAGAAAAATATGCATATGCTACATTTTAAATATCGAATAGCATATTTTTCTTGTAAACTTTCTGGTAAACTTGGGGATGTATTTTATTGCATGTTGCATATCCCAGTCAATCTGTCTCACCTTTAAATCTGCAGCTCTTCCTACTTCTCTCTGATCTCTGTTTGTAAAGATTTATGAACCACTTTACTAATATAATGAAGCCAGAAAGAACATTTCAAAATGTATATATAGAAGCCCTGCAGTCTGATTCTGTCTGTTCAATAAGAAAACCTGTTAATTTTAACCTGTAACTTGGACTCATGGTCCTCTGAGAAGCCTAGCTTGTTTAACTAGTAAAGGAGAACAAACTATGTTTTCTCATGCTTCTTGCATTATATTACCAACGTGTACAAACTTACAATCTGTTGCCATTTTTAGCTGAAACAGCTCTGTATGTCAAACAAAGATTTTTCAGTGGTATGATCTCTAATTTGTTTAACGATCCGTCTCCTAACTTTTACTAAAACATCAAAGTAGCTGCTGGTTAATATTCACTGAGTGCTGCTGTGTGTCTCTCCTCCAACCACGTGGCGACTCTGTGCATCAGTGACCAAATCAGCGACCGCAAATCAGATGTCTCAAAGCATCACATGAACTCAAAATGCTCCGAACACAGTTAGATGCACCCAACCTTTGCTACCTTTGGCTAAAGTAAATTAGCAGAAAGGGGGAAAAAAGGCAGAAATTATTGGTGGGGACATGTCCCCACCAGGCCCAGGTTGGTGGGGACATGTCCACACCAGTCCTTCAGAAAGTTACGCCTGTGCTGTGTGGGCAAAAAGACCTATGACTGCTTCCTCTGTCTGGTGTTGTTCCAAATTAAAATTTCACAGTATAATATAAGGCTGAACTGAACAAAATTTCTAAATTAGCAACCAAATACTTTCAAACTTATTTATAACTTATAAGTTACAGTTACCATTCAAATTGAAATAGAAGTTGAAACATAATGTGTAAAGTTAAAAAGCTAATTAAGAGGGAATGGATGAAGAATGTCTGCATTCTGGATTCTGATCCATCATCTGTTTTTTCCCACTGTTCTGTCTTCATCTACGTTTCTATCAGTGTTTTTCTCTTCTTAATTTTCCCTGTTATGTTGCAGCTGTCACAGCATGCCATTATTAATATAGAAGTAACAAGGCAGTTTTAAAAAAATAAGGAGCAGAACATAAATATATTTTTGCTCAAATGTAGTAAGTAGAACATTCTCAGAAAAATAAATGCTAAAGTAAAGTTCCTATACCCAAAAAGGCTACTTGTGAAGAGTAACTAAGTATTAATGCTTAGTTTCTGGACACCTCTGTTTAAAAACTTAGGGGTTAAGGAGGAATATTAAAAACATTTTAAGCAATGCCGGGATCGTGTTTATTGGCCAAAAAAATCTAAAATAATTCTACAATTTAAAGCTGAAATGTTAAAGTAATGTACTTTACTACTGTCCCTTAACTTCTTCTGCAAGCTGTTTAAAACTGAGACCCCTTATCATAAAAAATAAAACATTTTTATATATGTTCCTACATTGTTTGATAAACAACCTTTAATTCCCAGGTTTCACTTTTTTTTTTTATTGTTGAAATACATTTCAGTTGACGAGTTTTATAAGTTTATAATTTTTTTTTCTGTGGAAAACCTATTTACCAATAAAATAGAAGAACAGAATATTCTGCCTCTTATCGAATTTGCTTTATTTTCAAAGGATTTGTCGAACCTTGAAATTTCTGATTTAAAAAAAAAACTAAACATTGCAGTAATTGAATTTCATGTTGAAGTCATATTAAATCTTTTTTTCTCAGATTTTAAGACTTAGAAGTATTAATAACATCACATAATTTAATGAATTTTTCAAACCCTTGAAACTGCAGGGCCTCAACAGCAACCAAATACTGATTTATTTTTAAGAGAGCTGAACAGCTATTAGCACAATCACCAATCATGGAGATAACATGGCAGCCACAGCCTTCCTGACAGGAACACGGTAACATTGGAGCTACAGTCGCTCTGTGGAAAGTCTAATGGCATGCATGACTACATTATAGTGCAACTAATGACTCATTCTTTTGTACCAGTTGTAAGACATGCTTTTTAAATGTCTGGAAATAGTAACCCATATTCAATCCAAGTGAAAATATCCAGAACAAACAATATAGTTGTTTTTTTTTAATAAATTTATGTATAAATAATTGCAATTTCTCCGTTTGTGGATTGATTTTCTGTGTTTGCAGGAGTGGAGTCGGTCAGTATTGATGTGGGTAAAGAGGAGGTGCTGGTGGAGGCCGCTCTCACCAGCGTAGAGGTGCAGTCTCTCATCGAGAGTACGGGACGCCGAGCCGTGCTGAAGGGGATCGGAGGATTAGAGCAAGGTGAGAATCAGACAGGAGAACATAGGGAAAAGAATCTCTATAGAGATAGTTTCCATTTGATTAACCAAGCACCAGCATATGTGGGGTTGTTTTTGGCAAGTGTGAATTTTTATTTTTACTAACTGTGGCTCACCATGACTTTCTAATGTTTGCATCACTGTGATTGTGAAATCTGCACAGAGCATGTAAAAAAAATTAATCCTATAGTCCAAACTACAGATACATTATGTATCTGCATTAACATTCCTATTGGTCAGTGTTCATCTTTTTCTAATATATTGGTATGAATCAATAACTTTAACTTTATTTCAGAAAATCCAGTTAAAACGATAAATACAACTCATACAAACATGAGGAATAATTAATGACATACATATTGTTCTATGTATGATTTATTGCTTATGTCTGAAAAATATAAATATAACCCTCATTAGGGGTGTAAATAATAATCGTTTTGTATCGATGCATCGATCCAACAGCCGACGATCCGATGCATCGACACTTCCACAAGAGAATCGATTCATGTTTTTTTTCCTCCGGTCTATTTTTATCCATTTGCTCCTGGAAATAATTCTCCCTCCCGTGCTGCGGTGGCGCTAAACCTGTTTTGCCCTCCTACCGCGCTTCCTGGTTATACTCTTACAGCAGTGTGTTGCAGTAAGCTTGACACAGACATTTTTGATTTATGCTCAATATTGAAGCGTGGTCTGAGCTACACACTGTGGGTCTAGATACGGCCGAGGCGGAGAGGACGTGGGGGTGAGTTTAGTCCGACGACGGAGGGACATTAGGACCAAAAAGAGCGGTGATCCAGGTGGGAAAAGGGTCCCAGTGTTCTCGCGCACCTCGCTCTTCTAGCGGGTCAAACTTGACCAGTTGTTTTCTGCAATTTCGGTCATAAAAACAAAACAAGCCGACCTCCTTTCTGCGCCACTGTCTGCGGTCAACTACAATTTGGGAGAGGTGCAGCGGAGCGTCTGTGGAGGGGGCGGGGACGTCTGGAGCTGAGGTATTGCATTGCACCCATTGCACTGATTTTTGCAGTATTTTTTTATGCAACTTTTCTACTTCTGTTATTTGCTGTTGTTGCTAAAAAAAAAAAAATGCATAACGATATTACAGATTTAATTGATTTATTTCAAACTTGAAACTTTGTTAAGCCTGTAAGGTGTAAAAAAAAAGAAAAAAAAAAGATTAACCGATTAATCGAATTGCATCGTGGTGTATTCTTGAGTATCGATACTGAATCGAATCGCCATGATGGATGTGATTTACATCCCTAGCCCTCATGCACTGACAATCCTAGCATTTCCCACTTAACGTAGGAGTCCATAGTAGGGCTGAGTAATTGATTGCATTTGCAATCTAATTGCGATTTAGCAAAAAGCTATTTTTAAATTTGCGAAGGCGCTCAATTTTATTCGCATTACATTAATCTTTTACTCTCCATTTGCACCAAAAGCGTTTTGCCTAAACTCCAAAATTTGGACACTGGTTCAAACTGTGGTCAAGTTGCTTTGATGCTTCATTGCTCTGGATGCTCGGCGCTCTGGTTGTTTAGCTGCTCTGTTCAGTAGCTTCAAGCTAAAGAGCAGCTTGGCTTTATTTAGTTTGATAAGTCGGAAATAGTTTTGGCACATTTTTAAGCCAGAAAGTCCGCCTCCAAACATTATCTGTGCAGTGAGTTCCCCAGGATTATGATTCCACTAAAATATGCAGCTCTTGTTCGTAGCACCAGACCTCCAGCATACCACCGAGAGGCAGGACTGGAAACCCCTGTCAGGACCTCTCTGCTACAGCCAGTCTGTTGGGGATTTCCCAAACAGTTTTAAGGTTTTTGGTAAAAACTACAAGTACCAGAATATACAGTTGAATATTTTTCGTCAGCAGGTTTTAACATTTTTTGTTAATTTGGATATTTCTAAACTTTTTCACCATGTTTTAGTGCAGCAACAATGATCTGACATTGCTCTCTTTTTTTGCAGCCGACATAACAAATCCATTCTTCCACCTTTTTTTTTTACTTTTGAAGTTTAACCCTTTGATATTTATTTATTTTTCATATGCAGACAGCTCTGCAGAAACAACACCAGCTTGAATGTAGGGTCTGTCTCCCCCAAAAGAACTCCTGGGTCGGCTTGTTTAACTCAAGCGTCGATTCTTAGACACCCAACGCCTAAACGTCCAGATGGGTCGCTCACGATGCTCGGACACACTGCTGGACTTCTTAACCCCCTCCCCATAGACTTTACATGTATAAATCAAACTGTCTACTTTAGAAGCAACACTTATTGACAATCAATTTAACATGATTACGTGCAAATGGAAAATACAACAGGTGGAAATTATTGACAAGATGAGCTCAATAAAGAAGTGGTTCTGCAGGTGGGGACCACAGACCACTTCTCAGTACCTATGCTATCTGGGTGATGGTAGTGAAGCTCAGTCAAGATGGCACATCAATGCGAGCTATGGCAAGAAGGTCTGCTGTTTTTTGTCAGAGTACTGTCCAATCAGGAAACAGGTCAGTACACCAGGAGTCGTGAAGGAGGCCAACAACTCTGCAGCAATGGGGAACAGGAGGAGCAATTCCAGAGCCCTACAAAATGACTTCCAGCAGGCCACGAATGTGCATGTGTCTGCACAAAGGGTTAGAACCTGACTTTTGAGGGCCCGACATCCACAGATGGGGCTTGTGCTCACAGCCCAACACTGTGCAAGGCATTTGCCAGAGAACAACAGGATTGGCAAATTCGCCACTGGTTCCCTGTGTCCTTCATAGATGAAAGCAGGTCCACCCTGAGAATCATCGCCATCCATCACCTCACCAGGAGCATGTCCAGGCACTGTAGGGAGGTCATACAGGTACATGGAGGCCACACACAATTCGGAGCCTTATTTTGACCTGTTTTAAGGACATCACATCAAAGTTGGACCGGCCTTTAGGGTTTTTTTCCATTTAAATTTTGTTTGGGACTCAAAACCCAGGCCTCCACTGTTTAATAAATTTAAATGTGCTGACGACAAAATCAGCAAATTCAACTTTGTACAGAGCAAAGTATTCAATGAGAATATTTCAGTCATTCTGATCTAGAAGGTGTTATTTGAGTGTTCCCTTTATTTTTTTAAATGGTGCATTTTTAGTATCTGCAAACAAAACAAACTTGTATACCTTTAAAAACCTCACACATGTTATTTAGGTTGAGAATAAACAGTGTTTGTCTCAATACTGACCCCTGGGGGACACCAGAAACAGATCATACATCATAAAGCTCTAATTTCCTATTGAATATTTTATCAATTGTATCAAAAAAATTTGTTTTTTTGTTTTTTTTTAGATCAACAAACAGACCAAAAGCAAACTACTATTTAACCTATTAAGCTGCTAATTTCTTCCAAACTACCAAGGCTGTTGATCTCTATCTAACCCCCCACCCTACCCACAGACACAGACACAAAAAAAAGTTAAAGCACAGTGAAACGCGTGCCTCTCCAATGTGAAACAATACGAATACACATTGTGGATTAACCGGTCTATCTTCAAGCATCACACGACAACCATCACCAAGACTTCTATAATGCGGTTTTTACTGGATTTGGTTATTAACACGGATGTGACAGTGACTGCTGGTGCGTAACGTCAACAATCGCCACATCAGCAGGGTTGCCAGATGTCACTGGCACGTTATCCAGAACAAAAAATATTCATGAACCGCCTGGCTATACAAAATCTGTACCATCTGATTTGAACCAAAGCCTATTGATCTCTTAGTCAATAAATCTAAAGAAAATTGTTTTTTTTACCCATATACGGCCATCCTAAACTGCCAGATTAGGAAACATCCCAACCTGGCAACAATGCACGTAAGAAGGGAAACGTTAGCATTTAGATGCAAATCCCCATCATGCACCGCAACATGTTTTTGCAAAAATATCCAAACCGGCCGGTATGATTTAAAGAGGGCCGGCCCTCGTACGCTGAAATTAGGACCGGCCCACCTGGCAAATGCCCGGTATCACCGATTACCAGTCTGAGCCTTTGCTTCTGTATGAATGAATGGAGGGGCTTTGCCTTGTGACAGTGATGGGAATGAAATCTGGAATGCTTTGGCATTCAATGTCCCATCATCATCAGGGCTGATATTCTGGCTGGCTTGTGGGGCTTTTTTTATTCATAAACAACATTTCTGTAAAGCTGAATTAGGATTAAACGGCTTTATAAAAGATAAGGTGTGGACTTTGTATTGTTCTACTTTATCAGTTTTTTTATTGCATGAGCCAAGCTTCAAGTGTCTGAGCATAACATGAGCGGGGACACAGGGCCTGAAAGATTGTATATGCAGTAGACTTTGAACTTTATAGTAGTTCTTTGTAAACTCGTCTCCTGTGATGTACCAGGATCGACGTTCTCTCTCTCTTCATCTCTTCATATTTCTGGATGCTTCTTTAAAATGATATCTGAGGTCTCAGTGACATTAGTCTCTATTTGAATCCATCTATCTTCAATAGTGAGGATCTTTTTTCTCAGCGTTGCTTTTTGTTTTAAACACAAATTAAAAGATGTCAGCTTCCATCATTTATTTCCACCATTTTACCAGTAGGAAGTTTGTAAACATCATCCACCTTCTTTGCCCAATCTAGTAAACCGTAATAGTAATGTTTTATAAAAAATGGACCACGTACAGAAGTAATCATTATGTTGGAGGTTTTATTCCAAACTTTTGCAACTTAAATTGTTGTTACCTATTTATCTCAGATGCCTTGGCTTCCATTGATAATTCACTAAAAAGATTAACCAGAATCTGAATTTCCATCTTCACTGCGAACAAATGTGGTTTTAGATCACTTATAATGATAATTTAAAGCTTATAGCAGAGAGGCAACATTAACAAATAGTTTTGGCTCTCCTTTTTCATAATTTCTGGAAAAAAAGTGCATTTTTCCTCTAAAGATTTGACTTTTTTAACGATCTAGAGTTTTTTAAATGCAGCTGGTTTCCTTAGAAAAAGCATAATTTGCGCAAAGCTTTAATCGGCGTGTAATGTCAACATTTTAATGACTCTTTAGAGTGTGTGTGTAACAGATCTGGGTGCAGCCGTGGCCATGGTGTCTGGAGCTGGATCCATTCAGGGCGTGGTGCACTTCTTGCAGCTGTCTGAGGATCACTGCCTGATCGACGGGACCATCGATGGGTTGGAGCCTGGACCCCACGGTCTGCATGTGCACACGCTGGGCGACCTCACACAGGACTGCCTCAGGTGGGCTCTGTTACAATGGGAGCAGTTTCTGCTCATGGCTGATGTTTCTGATGTTGCTTTTCTAAGATTGATGGTTAACAGCTCTGGTGTGGAACAAGTAGAAGACTGGTTGGTTGAGACTCGTACAAACCCTGAAGGAGGAAGGAGGTTTATGGCCTAAATGAAGAAATAAAAAAAAAAATTAAATTAAAAAACACAGCTCTTTGAAGGAGGCAAATTCTTTGGTCAAAATTTAAACTTTGATTCTTCAGGTTATAACCAGCTTCCTACTTTCCGTTAGAGCTGAAGGCTAAAGAAGGATCATCCATGAAGCAGCTTTTTTGTCTCCTTACTGCAGCGGTTACAGCTTCAGTTTGATGCGGGCTGTGAAATCTCTGCTCTTCATTGTTTCAGTACTGAGTATTGTGGGGGAAAAATAAAATTGTTTGTTACATATCAGAACTTAAGCCTTCCCAGGGAGTTTAATGCATGCAAAGCTTTTCATTTCATCCCATTAAATGGAGTTTGTCCGTCCTCTGCAGCTGTGGAGAGCACTACAACCCATTTGGAAAACAACACGGAGGTCCGGGCGACTCTGAGAGGGTATAGTCAACTTTTCTTTTATTTTTTCTATAATTTGCATGCCTTCTAAACTGAGTCATTGTGTAATATTCCTATTATATAAGTGGATTCAGTGATGTGCTTCATATCCAATATGAAATGATGTTTTGAGACATTATAAGAACAAAAGGATCCCTCCTGGAATTAAATAATAAAATGTCAGCATAAACAAAATGCAGGTCAGTGCAAACTGGCTTTCTGTTTTAGAACATGAGTTCAGCAAAGTGAGGAGTATTCAGGCTGTATTAGAGATCTTTATTTATGGTGCTGTTTGCTGTATCCGATCAACAAAATTTAATATCAAACACACACTTTGAATAAATACTAGATGCAGATTTTAAACGATTGTTTCATTTATGAAGACGAAAAAAAGCTAATTAGAACAACCAGACCCTATAGGAGGAGCTGCCCAACAAACACAAGCTTATTGTTGTTTTCATTGGATTTTATTTAGTTTCCACATCTGATCTTTTATTCTATTCTAGGTTCAATTGGTTTTTAGTATTCGTTAGCTACTTTAGTTTAGTTTTTATTAGTTTCAGTTATGGTTTGAGTCTTTTATGCTTAAAAAACCTTGCATACAGGGGCAAGAATAAAAAAAAAAAATTAATAGAAAATAAAATCCCAGATAAGGACAGACCACTGCTGAGTGCCGTACCTGCGTCTGCAGGCTTATTGCAGTACAGCAAACAAAAAACTAGACCTCATATTAATGTATTATGATAAAGAGGGAAATAAAAACTAAGGACCAATTCAGTTAGTTTTAATTAGATTTGTAAAGCACTTATTTCAGCTTCAGTTTGTTTTTTTTGTGTTTTTTTTTCAAGGTGTAGTTTTTAATTTGTATTTCAGTTGACTAAAATGCTTTTTAATTCTAGTTTTCGTTATTTTGTTTCTTTGAGTTAAGAATAATCTTTCCTTACACTATATTGCCTGTAAGAACCACTGCACAAAACAAATAGAACACGTCTAACAACAAGAAGAAGGTAAAACGTCTCAAAAAGTAATTATCAGTCTGGAAAGACTTAGACAAATAATCGCTTTTACAGTATAATTGCAATTGGAAAGAAAACATGCAAAACCAATACACATAGAGACTCAATTATTGATTTTGTTATATTTATGTATTTAGGACATTAACATACTCATTCCAGGCTTTTAGGTGGTGATAATGCAGCACTAAAGCGCTGTGACATTAGTCTGTCTACCTAAAGTATTTCTATTAAACATCACTAATGCATCAAGGTGGATAGAAATAAACTTAAAAGCTGCATAGCAGGCCTCAGAGGTCAGAGGTCACAATTAGGCAATAAGAAAACAAGTATGATTTAATGTTTGGGTGATTTCAAGGTCAAAAATCACTAGCGATTATTAATTACTTAAAACCCTTTCTTTTCTGTGCCTAAAAAAACAAAGAAGCTTTTTAATGCCCCCAAGATCTTTGAAAAAAAAAATGCTCTGCCTACTGGTTGTCATTAACATGGAGTTGGTAGCATGTCAGTTTTGGTAATTAGCAGGGTTATGAACTCTGCTTTAAAAGCCTGAAACCAACACGGTACCATATATGATGGAGAATATCCAGCATCCGTTTTTGACTTCAATACTGATTTGGATAGATTTTTTTTTCTGATATATATTCAATGATCTTTAAAAACACATTTTTGTATTTACACTGGTTAAACTCGGGTATTTTTAATTTGACAAAAAAATGTAAACTGAAAGAATCTGTAAATGTGCAAATACCTTTCACTCATCCTATTCCCATTGATAATTACCATCTTAAAATGGTTAAATGTTTGTTTTTCATACAGCGTGTTTTCTTTCCAGCATGTAGGTGATCTGGGGAATATTATAGCTGGACCAGACGGCCGAGCCTCCTTTAGGTTAGAGGACAATCAGCTTAAGGTAAAAGGAACAAACACGGGTAGATTTAGCAGCAGCACATGAAGCTAATGAATCTACCGTCACCCTGCAGGTGTGGGACGTGATTGGTCGATCTCTGGTCGTGGACTCGCAGGAAGACGACCTGGGTAGAGGCGGCCAACCTCTCTCCAAGCTAACTGGAAACTCTGGTGAAAGGTTGGTTCCACAAAGATCAAGAATAGATCCATCATATGTTTAAAGAGGCGAACAGAAAAGCAGAATGATCCTAATTTGCTTGTTAAATCCTCATTATGAGAAAATCTATAATTTACCTGAAGATATAAGCACTACACGCTTTATTGCTCACTTTCGCACTAATCAGAGTCTGGAAACATGGCGGGTGGGAATGCCGTTATCTGAGTTGTTCGAGTAGATGTTTCAGCTGAAAGATCTGGACTAAATTAGTTTAGAAATAAATGATTGGGCTACATGATACAGATTTTATTAAAGGGAAACACAGGCATTTTCTTAAAAGACTGTACTTCTAGTTTTTAGTGAAGTAACTATTATCTACAGCAAAATGAACAGTCAGCTCCAGTTTTAACTGGTCAGTTCACAAGGGAATCACTTTACAGAATAGAAAAACATGATTATAGTTATGAATATTGTTAAAAATTGCAACTGCATCATAGATTAAACCACATTTTCTCACTACTCATTCTTCTCTATCATGGCAATGTCCATACTAACGGCCGAAAATTTTCAATGTATTTTGTATAAATTCAGATGTCGTCTCAAGGTACTTAAAAAAATAATGTCACATCAGTCGAGATTCAGAGTCAAATTGCTTTTTTTCCCATTTGATCCTAAATGTCAAACAATGCCGTCAAGTCTGGTTTATTATTCAAATGTCTTAATGTTTCCTGGATGAACGTGTAGCTAAATTAGACATTTGCAGCGATTCCTCATGCCAAGCATGTATGTAGTGTTGATGAAAAAGGAAGAAGCCTCCAACAGAACCAGCTACCAAAAGACGAACTGTTGCTCAAATGGGGCTCTCAGTAGACAGGACAGACACACACAAAATAACTTAGAAACAAGAATCAAGGAGTACTTTTTATTCGAGACAAATAAAAGTTATTTACTCCTTTCCAGGGTTCTTGTTAGTGTAGTGCAGCGCTATATTGGAAAAAAAAAAAAAAAAAAAAAAAAAAAAACCATAGGGTATAGCCTTGTATGGAGACACGGGCTCTAAATATGTGGCTGACTATGAAAAATGACTATGTACGCTTAAATATATAATAAGCATTCATGATTAAATTTTTGTCCTGAAGCAAATGTCACATCATGTTCTCTGCTGTACGATATTTCAACCCAGTCTCATGGGAAAATGTACCCCCACTACGTTGGTCCACACTGCAAAACGTAGTGGAGGTACATTAATGGCCATTTTTTTTGTGGTACTGTTACGTTTCTTCTGCCTATACACTTTCTATTGTTTTACGTCCTAGTCACGTGACTTTCAAGATTCCAGCTGGGAGAAGAAAAAAAATAAATATATGGCCGACATTCGCTCATTTTTTTTGTGGAAAGATTAATGACTTGAGTTTGTTTTTGCATTAAAATGACTTTTGATTACATTTCTAGTGAGAAATGTATAGTTTGTTGCCAGAATATTTACTCAGGGAATGTACATATTCACTTGCTTGTTCGTTTTTTGCAAAGATTTTTCAAGATAATGTGAAACTGTAACATTTTGGTATAAACATGGCCGAGATTTTTCTAACTTTTAGTGGGAAAATCAATAATTTCAATTAGTTTCTGCATTTAAATGGGTTTTTATTACATTTATATCGAGAAGTGTAGGGTTTCTTTACATAATATTTACTTAGTGAACATACATAACCACCCGCTTGCTAGTTTTTGCTACGGTTTTTCGGATCTCGTCAGGATTATGTGAAATTGCAACGTTTTGGCTGCTACCCATCGCCTAGCATTTAGCTGCCACCCCGATTCAACATTGAATCCTTTGTGATTTAACTCCATCTGATCAAACCCTTGCCACTGCGTGCGTTGCGTCTGAGGTTGATTTTCAGACCAATGCATTACGTCGTGGCATACGGGAGAAAATAATGTTGAAAAAATGATCATGGGTTAAGATCGGATGTGTTTTATTTGGAAATCTACCGGATCCTTTGTGCATTTAACTTCCTGTTTGTTGCGATCTCATTGATGGGTTTTGACCAGATTTTGACCAAAGAGGAACTAAAAAAAAAAAAAAAAATTTAAATACACAACCAGCATATCTGGAATCAGTGACAGAGAGCGACTGGGACCAAAAGTTTATTAATTTCTCCCTATTGATTTCCATTCAAAATGTTTTCGGTCCCACCGGGCTCTAGGGAAGGGGCGTGCATACCGCCACCTACTGTTCATGAGTGTGTAGCAACATTGTTTTACATCTATTAAATTCTGTTTTTTTATTTTGTATTCTGAAGATAAATAAATAATGCTTTCCTTAATCTATAAATATCTTTTATATTTCCTTTATTTCCCAATAATCCTTTAAGACTCCATTCTTGGCCTGTCCTTTCAACTCTTTCTCATCAATACGTGTTCTACATTTTCTATCTCTCCACATCCTTCACATTTATCATTATTTTTCCTCCCTATTAAGTATAAATTGTCATTTAAATACTTTCTAAAACTGCGTTGGAATCCGTGCATACCACCATACCCTCTCTGCTCTGACCTCCTCAACCCATTGGAAACTCAATATAACTGCCACCATCTCTGCTGTGAAAACAGATAGTTGATCTGAAATTCTTTTAGAAATGTGTATTTTGAACTCTGGTACATATATTCCTACACACACACCCACACACCCATACTTAGAAAGTATTCAGGGAGAAGGAAATAATAGGAAAGATTTAGTATTAGAAATTCAGCACAGTTTATTTAGATTATACAGGGGTGGCATTGATATTTGGTTTTGTTGGGTTCCAGCACATGAAGGGGTAAAAGGAAATGAATAGGCAGACAAATTAGCAAAAAGGGCTTTAGAGGAGGCAATAACAATTACAATTCCTTTAGGGAAAGGGGAAGGAAAATCATTTATTAAGAGGAAAGAAATTGAAAAATGGCAAAAAAAGGTGGAATGAAGATAAAAAAGGAAGAAGGTTATATAAAGTACAAAAGTCAGTATTAAATAGAAATATTAATGAGAGAAACCGAAGGGAAGAAATAATAATGATCAGATTAAGAGTAGGTCATACTTATTTAAATGACAATTTATACTTAATAGGGAGGAAAAATAATGATAAATGTGAAGGATGTGGAGAGATAGAAAATGTAGAACACGTATTGATGAGAAAGAGTTGAAAGGACAGGCCAAGAATGGAGTCTTAAAGGATTATTGGGAAATAAAGGAAATATAAAAGATATTTATAGATTAAGGAAAGCATTATTTATTTATCTTCAGAATACAAAATTAAAAAATAGAATTTAATAGATGTAAAACAATGTTGCTACACACTCATGAACAGTAGGTGGCGGTATGCCCGCCCCTTCCCTAGAGCCCGGTGGGATCGAAAACATTTTGAATGGAAATCAATGGGGAGAAATTAATAAACTTTTGGTCCCAGTCGCTCTCTGTCATTGATTCCAGATATGCTGGTTGTGTATTTAAATTGTTTTGTTTTTTTTGAGTTCCTCTTTGGTCAAAATCTGGTCAAAACCCATCAATGAGATCGCACCAAACAGGAAGTTAAATGCACAAAGGATCCGGTAGATTTCCAAATAAAACACATCCGATCTTAACCCATGATCCTTTTTTTAACATTAGTTTCTCCCGTATGCCACGACGTAATGCATTGATCTGAAAATCAACCTCAGACGCAACACACGCAGTGGCGAGGGTTTGATCCGTCAGATGGAGTTAAATCACAAAGGATTCAATGTTGAATCGGGGCGGCAGCTAAATGCTAGGCGATGGGTAGCAGCCAAAACGTTGCAATTTCACATAATCCTGACGAGATCTGAAAAACCGTAGCAAAAACTAGCAAGCGGGTGATTATGTATGTTCACTAAGTAAATATTATGTAAATAAACCCTACACTTCTCGCTATAAATGTAATCAAAACCCATTTAAATGCAGAAACTGATTGAAATTATTGATTTTCCCACTAAAAGTTAGAGAAATCTCAGCCATGTTTATACCAAAACGTTTCAGTTTCACATTATCTTGAAAAATCTTTGCAAGAAACGAACAAGCAAGTGAATATGTACATTCCCTGAGTAAATATTCTGGCAACAAACTATACATTTCTCACTAGAAATGCAATCAAAACTCATTTTAATGCAAAAACAAACTCAAGCCATTAACCTTTCCACAAAAAAATGAGCGAATGTCGGCCATATATATATTTTTTTCTTCTCCCAGCTGGAATCTTGAAAGTCGCGTGACTAGGACGTAAAACAATAGAAAGCGTATAGGCAGAAGAAATGTAACAGTACCACAAAAAAATGGCCATTAATGTACCTCCACTACGTTTTGCAGTGTGGACCAACGTAGTGGGGGTACATTTTCCCATGAGACTGGGTTGGATATTTGGTGCTTTAGGTTTAAATTCCATTACAATAACAATGTATTGAGTTTTGTTGCATTGATAAAATTATAGAAAAACAATAAAGAAATTAATTTTTTTATTGCTTTTATTTTGAGGATTTGCAGAAAAAAAAGAAAGCTCCCATGCCTGCGTCAGTGCGCTACTTGTTTGATCTGTGGGAGGGTTTCCATGCGTGCAACAAACCTAGCAGAAGTAGTGGAGTTTGGAGTTGCATCTACTTCTTAAATCTATCTTTGCGCTCCTTTAATTTATCCAAAAGTTCTGCAACCACTTATTTTGTTTTTTACTCCCATCTTGGTGCACATTTAACATGCCATCCCTGGAAATGCCTTTCCCTTTTATTTTTTGTCCTCTCTGGCAATGTGGCAACAAGAATAATTGTCTTGATGCCAATAAGAGCCCAACAGATTTTACTTTCACAAGTGGAGCAGTAGGGCTATCGCCATAGTGTTCCACTTGATTTATGCATATAAATTGCTTTATTATAATTCATGAAGGGAGTATTACAGATTTTATGGACACTGCAATGTAAGTAGAGCAGGAAAAGGGGAAAAAAATGAGAAAAGATGAAAGAAAGAGGAGATAAAAGGAAGATGATGATAAAACATCTTCAATGTGCTTCATCACCTGCAAAGAGATGTAAAAAGTACAGCACAACCAATAGATATAGTATAAGAGATACAATAAAGTAACACCTTGGTACTATTGCTGAAGCATAAGTAGTATTATTTATTTATTATTAAATGCCTTTCCTAATGACTCTTTTTATTACTTGACAACTTCTCATTATAAAGCAAACATGCAGGCAATCCTTCCGCATTGATAATAAAAGCAAATGATTCGGTCCATTCTTCTTTGAATCCTCCGTTCTCATCAGCTATCTTCCTTTTTTTCCCCTTTGGGATCAATGGTCCGAGACACACACATCGCTTTGTTTCCAACCGCCACCTGCCTGGCACAACGCCGTGTTGCAGGCTATGCAAATCTTGGTTGACAGGAATGTTAAAATTTGTTTACATTTATTTATTATACAAATTTGTAAAGCATTGGGAAACCTAATGATTGTTTTACCTCTTGCACACCATATTAAAACAGACAAACGAAAATACATTTTAACAGATAATGAACCTAACCAAGTTGATGAAAAGGTCCTGCAACTGCTGCCCCATACGCTCGACCCTGACGCCACGTCGGATGAGGAACGTTTTTAGGCCACTCAGAGATTTTACTACCCCTTGAGAGCAATTCCTTGCCACGCGTCTTCCTATTATTGTAGATAACAGAAGAAATGTGTCGATCAAGCCAAGAGACAATTTCTGTAGCTCCTGTGGCCAAAGCTTTCAGTCACTGAGGTGGTTGCTATGGGGTGTTCTCAGATTTGGCTGAATGATCTAATTGAAGTTATTTTTTCCATTCTTTAAAGTCGTAGGGAAGTCATTTAACTTTCAAATCATTCTGGCTTAAACATATATCTACATGTACTCTTAATCAGACGATATTGTCCCAAAAGTTAGAAAATTTCTATTTAAAAAAAAAATTCGGTCTTAAAATCTGTGGGGGGGTTTTTCGTTACCTAATGCAGGCCAGTTAGTTATACGTCAGCTAAATTCGTCCAATCATATATCAACTGTCATCTGTCAATCAAATTTTTTCGGTCATAGCATATTGATTCATATGTCACAGCTAATATACGCAGCAGTTGAAATAAGAAGCATTTACTTTAGCATTGAGTTCCGTCCCAGTGTTCCCTGCTTTAGTGGCATCATCTGGTTGAGAAACGCTGCTAATCTATTTTAAAGTGGAGAAGGTGAAAGAGAGAACATACAGACGGTTACGGTTATGGCTTTGTCTAGAACGGGGCCACAGAACAAGGCATGATGGAGCTACTGTAATAAGAAAAACAGAGAACATCATTAAGTTAAAAGATTGTTAACCCCCTCTTCTAACCTTTTTCAAAATTGTAGTTTTGATGTCACCAAGAGGCCTGTCTTCAAACCATAATGTTTTCCTCTTTAGTCAGTTTGTAATCTGGCCGTTTCTGTTGCTTTCAGATTGATTGCTACTTCCTCTAAAAGTGGCCTTTTAACTACAGATGTGCCGATCTGATACCTGGACCAGATATTAGCTCTGATATTAATACATTTTTTGCATCGGATATCAGGGATTTGATATCAGAAATCCAATCCAATCCACTTTGATTTTAACTGTCATTTATTTGTTTTTGCTGCTTATTTATGACTAAATAATATAAAGTACCTTTTGATCTGTGTTCATTTGTTATTCTTTTTTTTAAGAATGTTTATGTCAAGATTAAAGCCTTCACTCACATGGTCCGATATACGGTCCATTCATTTAACAGTAGAAATGGATCAGCATCTGTTATCGGCCGATACACTCAGCCCAGGTATCAGATTGGATCGGAAGAAAACTGAATCTGTGCATCTCTACTGTTGGACGTCATATTTGGAATCTGCTCCGCTCATAATGGGTTGATAGAGCAAAAATGCTGTTGAAAAACACTAAGGATATTGAAAATAATACTTCCGTGGATTATTTGGGGTTTTTAGTGGAAGCTCTTCTGATTAAAATGAACCCTTAATTTTAGATAAATAATGTAAACATTTATTTGACATATGATTTTTTTTTTCTTTCATTGCTATGTTGTTCTATTATGATAGTCAGTAACTTCTATGTTTGCAGGCTGGCCTGTGGGATCATTGCCAGATCCGCAGGCCTTTTCCAGAACCCCAAGAAGATTTGTGCGTGCGACGGAGTCACGCTGTGGGAGGAAAGAGACCGACCCATTGCTGGGAAAGGCCGAAGCAAGATAAACCCAGAGACACCTGCAGCACACCTCTGAATCTGACAAAAACATGCTGATTGGTGTTTGGATGAAGAGATGGACATTATGTTGACTTTAGTCGGCAATTTAACGGAACGCAGAGCACTTTGTTCCCAAACCGCTGGAGAGATTACTTTATAAAAGCCTTGAAACATTTGTGATAAATTTGACTCATCCTGCACAAACAGTCCTGCCTCTTAACATTTCATATTAACCCATGCAAGCATTTTCATATAGCCTCAAGAGATCCGTTTTTAGACAGAAAACACTTGCAGACATCCTGCAGCTAATGCACATTTAGATTAAACCTGGTTTGAATCCAAAAAGGGGTGCAAGTGGCTGGAGTAAAAGATTAAAAAGACAGGAGGAAGACTCCAATTCCAGCTTGAGATGAAGGTCATAGGGGGCTAATTGAGAGGGGGAAGCCTTCAGGGTTGAGTTCCCTGCTGTTCTTTTCAGCATTCAGTATGAAGTTTTCTTCCAGCTACCTTCAGGGCCTTAAAACCAAGGTGAACTGACTTTTTCTCACATTCCCATTTCTCTTGTCATGTCGCATTTCCTGTGATAAATGAATGTATTATGATAACCAAACTACAACCCGCTTTACTTTGTGTATATATTTCTTCATGATTAAAAGATCAATATCAGGACATGGTGGTTTGTGATGTGTTTGTAATAAAGTTGACATTGATTTTTCTGTTTCCAAATTGAGCATTTGTCTTCTGTTGCTGATGCATAAATGGGCTTATTGAATGCCCTCCAAAATGTTCTATCATTGTCTTTTTCCATTTGGGTCTGAGACAGAGTCCTTCACAATAACACAGTCCTTGGTGCGTCACTGCGAAGTGGATGAGGACGAATATGTGATTTTTCACTATTTTTACAAATAAATACGTGGAAAGTCTGAGATGTGTTTTAATTAATTAAAATGTGAATTGAGAAAGCTTCCTGGAGGGGAAGCGAAACGTCTTCAAACCTTGGAAACCAAGACCAGTGGATTGTTTTTAACTTTTACTGAAAATTTTAATTAAGCCTCTCCCAAATTTTTTCTTTTCTAAGTGTTTTTTTATTTTTTATGGATGCCTCTAAAAGATTGAGTTTTTTGTAAATATGTTTTTACAGACATTAACTAAACTTAGTTTTAGACTTTGACTAGGCCGTTCTGCAAAGTAAGAGTTCCCTCCAACAGGTTTTCTCCCAGGATCTTCCTTCATTTATTCATTTAGGTCAATCCATCCTCGCATCAAGTTTTATGTCAAATGAAGAAATCCATCCCCACGGCATAATGCTGCCATCACCATTTCTTACATTAGGGATCATAGGTTAAGGGTGACATGTTTCTGGTTTCCATCATATACACTGCAAAAACAATCTGAAATCAAGTAAAAAAAATCTTAAATCAAGTGTATTTACCCTTAATTTGAGCAGGTAAATAAGATAGTTTGCCAATGGGATGAGTATTTTTACACTTAAAATAAGATAACTAGATAAAATGCACTTGAAATAAGACAATGCAATTGTTTTTTCTTATTTCAAATGTAAATTGTCTTGTTCCATTGGCAAAGTGTCTCATTTATCTACTGAAATCAGGATAAAATGCACTTATTTTAAGAAAAAATTACTTATTTGGATTTACATTTTTTGCAGTGTAGAGCTTGTTTTATGGGGAAGAAGTTGTTTAAATGTAATCTAATCTAACCAGAGCACCTTCTTCCACTGGTTTACCATCTCCTGTCTGGCAAACTAGATCTCTTATATCTTTATTTTAATGGCTTTCCACTTGCTGCTACTCTATAAAGAGCAGCTTTGTGGAGAACATGATCAGCTTGTGTTCTTTCAACAGATTATCATACCTAAGCTTTTGATCCATACACCAGCAACACAGTGGGATGTGTTAAATCGTCAGGAACATTGTTTTAGAACATAAACCCAACTTTACCCCTGAACTTTCTTTGTGGCCTTCACAAAAACAGCTGTACACTAACCATAGGGTTATAGGAATAACAAGGGGGCGTATGGGTGCCTTTGGTTTCTGTGGGTTTTATTAAGATGGAGTAAAAAGAATACAAGCAAACCTATTAATCATCACTATGTACTACTTTGTGTTGCTATAAAACCAGGATCCAACAGGGGCCAGTGTCCCTGTAGAACTGGCTATAGCCCCTTTACTGAAACATACGCTACAAAAAAATATATATAATCAAGTAATTTCTTGATATAACTGTATTTCCTCTTGGTTTGAGCAGGTATGTTGGACACTTTGCAAAAAGAATAAGATTATGTTTAAATTAAAAGACAAACTCTTAACTCATTCAAATGCATGTATGTATTTTTTTAAGAGAAAAAATAATTTGGCAGATCATAATTATCCATTTGAATTAAAGACAAATATGCTTATTTCAAGAAATCCTTCTTCGTTTGGATCAGTTTTTGCCGCGGTGTATTAATAAACAAGGTAACGACGGCGATACATGCTGACAGAAGGAACTGCGGCCGTTTTGTCCCTTCGACCATGGGCAGAGTTTTTGGGGGGCGGTGGGGGGGACCGCCCCCCTGGTGGCTGAAACATGTAATGAAATTAAAAATGTATATGTACATCTTAAATAAAATACATGGTAGTATGAAATTAATAAGAATCCTAGAACATTTTTGCAATAGATTTATTTTTCAGCAATCATGTGACATAGTGACACTGACAACTATTTCCATCCACTACTTGGTGGTTTCCCTCTCAGTATTAGCCTGATAAACCAGACTAAATGTGAGATTAAATGTGTAATTTAGTCTGGCCCTGATGAATGAGACATCGGAAGATTGTTGATGAGAACAACCCGTTGTCTTTCAAACCATATCTGTGCCTATTAGCCAACGCTCTGACCAATGAGCGCAACTGACTGTGACGTAGGAAGCATGACAGAAAGATGGTGGGGAGTGTAAACAAACAGCCTGTGATGTGAGCAGTGGATAACTTGTAGTGATCATGGAGTTGGACTATTGTTGTCGTTTGTGCAAAAAAGACATGTGAGTAGCCGGTGTACTAAACCACTGTACACAACTTTTCCGAAGTCCAAATCAACCGTTGTCAGCGTCAGAAAGATTACAGAAAGTTGGAGTGAACGTTTCGATTACACACGAGCTTGTACAATGTTGTTGGATAGACTGGAAAGAGATCCACCAATTTATTGGAGGTGGATTGAAAACGAGGTGGAAGCAGGTGCCCCCGCAGAACAAACAGCTACAGAAAAGAGAGCTCAGGGGGGCCTACTCCCTCGAAAACACCCAGAGACTTGAAGAAGCTCCACCACCACACAGACAAGCCAAGGCTATCTGTTGCTCTTCCGCGGAATATAGCCGAGGTACGTTGACATTACGACCTGTGACGGCAAATCTATCTGCTTAATTTTCTAACACAGTCGCCGCGCAGCTTCGTCATCACGCCCTCAAAACCCCGTCCGCTTTGCATCCAGAAATTCAAAACACATCTCTGTATTGTGATTGGCCCGCCAGTTCTAGGGCCTTGGGCATGGATCGAGGCTAGACCAAACTCTAAGGCAAAAATTATTTTGGCTGCTGAGGCTAGTTTACTAGGCTACCTCAGTTGCCTAGTAGCCTACAGTTGCAGCCTTGTGTAAGCTGCAAATGGATATCCATCCATCCATTTTCTGACACACTTAATCCCAGACGGGGTCTCCAGCTGTCTAAGGGCGAGAGGCCTTGGACAGGTTGCCAGTCTGTCGCAGGGCAACACAGAGACAAACAGGACAAACAACCATTCACACACACACTCACAACTAAGGAGAATTTAGAGAAGCCCATTAACCAAACAGTCATGTTTTTGGACTGTGGGAGGAAGCCAGAGTACCCAGAGAGAACGCACGCATGCTCAGGGAGAACATGCAAACTTCATGTAGAAAGACCCCGGTCTGGGAATCGAACCTGGAACTCTCTTGTTGCAAGGCAGCAGTGCTAACCACTGCACATCCCGCAAATAGATATTCAAAATTGTTTTTTTTTTAAACGTTCCATGAGGCAGTCTGCCACTGCGAAATATTATAATTAGACTGATTATAATATTTCACATTGGCAGATAGTTTTAAGCTTCAGATCAGATCAGGTTTTTATTTATTTATTTTGTTAGATCAGGAGTCTGGAACCTTTTTTTTCTATTATGTTTCTCTCTCTCTGCCATGAAAAAAAAATAATCAAATTTGGGCCCCCTTGTAAATTTTGTTTAGAAGCGCCACTGGGTGTAAATGAGGGATATATGACTATTTTGGTTCAATATTTAATACATAATGTGATATATTTTGTACAGTTTCTACTCCATAGATTCTTAAAATGAGTGTTAAGTTTCTCTCCTCTCTAATTGCCTGTATAAATCATGTCCTTCCTACTTGTTGCTCCCCCCATGGAGCCCAGAGCAGCGGCTGTTCGCCATCTTTTCCCATTGCACTAGATGTAATTAACTAAGCCATCTTCCAGGAGCTCTCTGTGTGTTCTTGGGTTATCTTCCTGAGGATTCAGCATCCTCCAGAGTGCAGTAGCCCTCCCTCCCTCCTCAGCCTCTCCAGCAGTATGCCCGACGCTCAAACGGAAGCAGGCGCTACCATTTTGAAACACAGCACCGCTAAGGTAAGATGGTAGACCCACCAGCTCAACAGCGTCATTAACCGTCGGATTATCTCCAACTAAACACAAAAACCGGTAACGGAACCCAATTTGGATGAAATAAGATGTGTTTTATTTAATCGGGGCGTTTAGGAACAGACTTTCTGTGGTCGTGTTGGGTTCAGGAAGCACTCCGTGCTGCACCGCACGCGCTCCTGTGCGAAATAAAAATGTGATTGTTAATGCATTTCATCGCTCTCCTAACAGAAATAACGTTATTTTATTAAATATAAACCCATATATGTGAGGTTCCTGGTTATCCGAGTTGAGCTAAACGCCCTTTGACGTGATATTCGCGTTAATTGTTTATTTCTTGTTAGCTTTTAGACCAACGGCAGCATCCCTGCTGCTTTCCATTCATAGCTAAACCTCGACGAGGAGACCGTTTTTTATTTATTTAATGTTTCTGTTTTTAATTCGCCCGAATAAAGGCGGACAACGGCTGTGAAAATATTGTTTACTCAGCTTCGTGCTGCGTCATCAGAAACCGTGTTTTACCACAAAGAAGCCAGTGTTAAAGCAGCAGCCATTCTGGGCTGCCTCCCAGTAAACAGAGAAGGAGAACATGTTCATTTAGAGGAGCAGGAGGAGGTGTTTCTTTGTCAGGAGCAGGTTACTAGAGACTAAACCAGAAAATAGAAATGTCCTCTGGTTTCAGGTTCCTCTTTGCCCTTTTGATTTACAGCCAGCCATAAAAAACAAGTTGTTAGGAGTGTAAAAAAAATATATATATAAGGGTAGAAACTGTAGCTATTATTAAGCATGTAGTTAACATGTAATGGTTGATGTCAGGAATTTGTGCATAAAAGGCTTTTCTTTAAGTATAATGGTTATTTAGAATGGTAGAGGTGGTTATTACTGTGAATCCAAGCAGACTTTATAAACCTGCTGAACTCCAGCTGCTGTGTTTGCCTGTCTGACTCAGAGCTTTAAAGGTGGACCTGCCTCCCTTATTAAACCTAGGAAATCACATCTCTGCTAAAAATAGATGAGAGAGAAAATAGATGAAAAAGAAAATTGTCTCCTGCTTTGTTTAGTTTTATCTGGGTTTTTATCTTTGGAGCTTTTCATATAGGCAAATATGTGGTTTCTTTAGAAATTTGCATGCATTACTAAAAGGGAGATAAGAGGTTTGTTTCTCTGATTTTGCATTTATCTAAGTGATGTTAGCATTTTTTTTTCTTTTTAAGCCGATTAAAAAAAAGAGTTTATTCAATATTTCATCTCAGTTAAATGGAAAGCGGCGTTTCTTTTATCGAAGTGGAATTGAGGAAATATACTTCTAATGTGTTTCCTGTTTGAAAGCTACAATGTGTAATGGTTTCATTGATTTACAGACAGAAATGTAATTTAAATTACGTGTGTTATTTAATATCATCTACAAACTGAAAGTGTAAATCTTTATGTTATAGTTGCCTTAGAGATTGCAAGTTTTAGGCTACGTTCACACTGCAGCCTGAATTGACCCAAATCCGATTTTTTTGCCCATATGCGACCTGGATCTGATCATGTCATGGCTGTCTGAACAACACAGATCCGATTTTTTTTCCAATCCGACCCAGGCCACTTGGCTATGTGGTCCTGAATCCAATATGAATCTGATCTTTTCAGATGCGACCTGTGTCTGAACGGGCCAGGTCGGATTCAGTCAACATGAACGTCATTAATGCCCGACAAAGGTCACTATTCTGTGTCTTGCTATGAAGAAGCAGCAAGAAAAGCAACAACCATGGCAGATGATGATGCGGAGAGCAGTATTTATGTTTAAACATATTGAAAAGATGGAGTTTCTATGGTTGGAAAAGACTGCTAGATGTGCGCCGGCACTTCCATCCATGTTTACTTCTGGAAAAAAATAGCTCGCTGGCCTGTGTCGTCCTTGCGTCCACTACTGCGCATGCAGGACACTTGCATTGTATGACTGCAGTTCACACAGGAGATCACATACAAGTCGTATATATTTGGAAATATGAACGGCAACACAAAAAAAATTGGATTTCACAAAAAATCAGAATTGAGCATCAAGGCCTGCAGTGTGAACGTAGCCATAATTACAGAGAAACAGGTCGAGCATTTTTGCAGGCAGACATCTCTGTGCTACGGCAGCTCAGAGCTGACAAACTAGTGACTGTAGAGATTGCAGTTTTGCATGTCCTATAGACGAGGATCCAATTAAAGAGTGACAGACATTATTTAACTGAAAATTAAATATTTATAAGGAGAGGGTTCTCAGATCAGGTACCTTTCATGTTCAGAAGATTATCCTAATGAATCCTACTGTTTCACCTTACAAACCTTCACATACATCTAGAACCTTATCTGAACTCACATTAGCAGCATTACAGACTCCTTTAACAGAACTTGATATCGGTGAGAGAACACTGATGTGTGATAACAGCATAACAGAAAACAACTGCATAAACAGCCAATCAGTATTTACGGTGTAATGTAGGACTGAAATGAAATCAAGAGGAACCCCATGAAATGATGCATAGGTCCTAGCTGTTTGTACGATGTTTTTATACGTCCATCTTCAACTGTGCACTTCTTCCCCCTGTGAGATTGCACCGATATATAATACATTGATCCATTACCATTAAACTAGTCAACTTAATTTCCCAATATTACAGTGATTGCAACAACCTATGGCAGGTCGTTTAGAAATTCGTTAGTTCATCTAAAAAAATAAAAAAAACTGTATTATTTATATTTGAAATACATTTCAGTCTAGGTTTATGAAACATTATTCTCACTAGTACAATTTAGGGTTGTCACGATACTAAACTTTTCAACTCGATACCGATACTAAGTAAAATATTCGATACTCGATACCCTTTTCGATACCACAACAACAAAAAAACAAAGACTGAAATTCAACAGAAATATTTTCATTACTAAAAAAAAAATACAAGAAATAAATAAAAAAACAAAAAGAACAATATTTTGAGGTTGTATGCTGTGCACAGTATTAAGCAAGCTTGATAAAAAACTTAGAAAATTAAAATTAAGTGTTAATTCCTTGGCTATGTTTTGCAGACATAACAATGACACTAGCCAAACCAGTTAAACAAAAGTAATTCTCAGCAGCTGCACCTGTTACAAAAAAAGTCTGAAACTGAAAAATGCACAGAATTATTCAATCACACAGTGTTCAGAAAGTGCATTTTCCACTATTCTGCACTTTAGATGGCTGTATCGATACTTTTGAAAACGAGTATTGTATCCGGATTAGGGCTGCAACAACGAATCGATAAAATCGATAAAAATCGACTTTTAAAAGCGTTGGCAACGAATTTCATCATCGATTAGTTGTGTCGCGCGATTATTGCGTCATCCGCCGCGCCGTCATCACTGCCTCTTGACTGAAAGAGGAAGAAAAAAAAATATGGCAGAGCGAGTCAGCGCCGCAGGAGCAGTGTTGCCAACTCAGCGACTTTTCAGACCCCTCCAGCGACTATTTTTCAGAAAAGCGACTAGCGACAAATCTGGCGACTTTTTTCGGTTTCACTGGCGGCTTTTGGAGACTCTTACGTGAAAGCATGTATCGTTCCTACTCTGCCGTGGGGCGCCTCCCCCCGCTCCCGCAGGAGTCCCTCTCAGCTGCAGTCAGAGCCTCAGCGTCCAGACTGCAAATGAAGCGCGCATGCACTGGGATTGACGGCGCAAATTGATCACAATAATTAAAATAGCCTGCGCTTTGTAAAGCGAAAAAAGTGATAACATGCAACTTTTTTCAAAAGAAATTAACATGGCACGGAACCACCATGTTTGTTTGGTTTTAAAGTGGGGAAACGTAACGTTAGTTTCTCAGGTAGCTCATCTGATGCTTTCCTTACCGTGTTAGTAGGTTTCAGACAGTGATAAGGTTGGCTACTTATTTTACTTTTAATTTCATTTGAATTAGCTTAAGCAGCGTTTACATTTACTTTATAAATAAATTAACTTGCAAATTATGAGGGCAAGGCTTTTAAAGTTTAAATCTTCTGGCGAAGATAAAGTAAAGAAGATCCTGCAATTTATGGAAGTAAAGCAGAATAAAATCCAGCAAGAACAGTAATATGTCAATTAATTATATGCCACATTTCCATGTAAATATCTGTCTTTGGAGGATGTGTTTTTTAGCACCCCTAGTTCTCTCATTTTTATTCCAAATACAATTTATAATTTGAATCACAGGGCTATTTTTATCTCTATGGTTAAGTATATTCTCAAGTAGCAACTTTAACTGCTATACTTTCCTGTCTTAAAAGGCAGAACTCTTCTAGTCTAAAAAACTCATTTGTTGAAATGGGGGGGCCTATTGTTTGAACCCCTTAGGGGCTTTTAAAAACAAAAATGTCTTTTTTTGCGCTTTATGAAACAAAGTACCCTATATTTTGTGGATGTACAGCTACATTTCTCATGTAAGTTTGCGTAGTTTTAACACAAACATTTATTTTTCATATTGCACCAGTACAGTTAATGAGCAACCTGTACTTGTGTGCTTGTTTGTTCTGTCTAAAATGTTTATTTTGGAATAAAGAGGTTAATATAAAAAATATTTTTTGTCCGATTCATCGATTAATCGAAAAAATAATCGTCCGATTCATCGATTTTTAAAATAATCGTTAGTTGCAGCCCTAATCCGGATACAACGTTTCAGTATCAATACTTTTTTTGAGTATCGATACTTTTAACAACCCTAGTACAGTTTTGTTTTTGGCATTCTAAAATTCAGTTTCTGCTGAAAAGTGTAATTTAGAAAATCTGTAATTACAGTTCTGTCTAGGCGTTTGATATGGATGAGGAGGAATTTGATTTTAGTGACCTACAAATGGAACAACCGAGAGCAGAGTGTTTTTAATAAATGTAAAAACGGGCTGCCATGACGGACTTCATCTAAACTTAAGCATTATCTCGAGCAGCAATCTTCTCCTGCTCTATCTCCTTCTCTTTTGTAGCTGCAGAGCTGTTGCTCGTTCTTTTAAACAGATTCTCCACTTCTTTTTTTTCATTTCTGCAATAAAATCTCTAGTTCCAGTGTTGTGCAATAGGCACTTCCTGTTGCCTGTCGTCATGGTGACTCAGCAAATTGGGGCTCCACTGATAATGCCTTTTCATACTTCTTATGCACCTGTTCAACTCTTAGTGGATCTACTAGGAGTTGATTAAACTGACTCACAGCAGCCATTGTGAAACCAAAAATTCAGTGTTTAACCTCCAGCTTGATCAATTCAGAGTCGAGTATTAGAAACACACCTCAGTACACTTGTATACATAACAAACAGAGGATTTATAATAAACCTTCAAAATGGCTAAATTTAAATCTGCTAAAAATTGGCACCTAGCTGTTACCAGTTAGTGTAATCCAGTCTTGTTTTTTTGTTCTAACATCATTAAGTCCCATCATCCCCGTGTTTCTTTGCAGGGCCATGGACAAGAGCCACACAGTGAAGCTCTTTGTGGGAAACCTGGCTCTGGACACCACCCAGGAAGAGCTGTCAGCCATTTTTGAACCTTATGGCCAGGTCGTCAGCTGCAGCGTGCTGCGGCAGTTCGCCTTTGTTCATCTACAGGGCGAGGGGGCTGCAGATCGAGCCATTCGGGAGCTCAATGGGAGAGAGTTCAGGGGACGAAATCTGGTGGTGGAGGAGTCCAGGGGGAGGCCGTTGCACTCCACCAAGGTGTTTGTTGGTAATTTGAGTGGGATGTGCACCACTGAAGACTTAAAGCAGCTGTTCCAGACATTTGGGAAGGTTCTTGAGTGTGATAAGGTCAAAGGTGAGCACAATACCTTAAAGATAATTAAACTTTTTGTAGATTTTGTCAAACTTTGGACTATTTTCATTCCTTTCTGAAGTAGGTTTATTTTTCTAATGTTCCTTACTGTGTTATAACTATTTTGTATATGTTGAAGGTGTAGTTATTCAAATACCTGTTGATAAAGCATTTAGACACAGTAAATCTAACCAGGGGAATATTTAAGATGGTTTGGAGACCTTCTTTTTAAGACTGGAGTTTGCCAGACTTTTTTTTAGGTGATCAAATCTTAATTTTGACACAACATAGCATGACTTCTTACTGTGATTTTCTTTACTTATCAAAGGGACAGACTTCATCCTAGTACCTAAACAATCTATTCTGTCTCATGATTTATATTGCTGGAGTCATTTTTCAACCTTTCAAATCCCCAAAAAGTTTTTTTTTTAATCTTCAGTAGTTTGGGCTAAACAGGTGATTGGATTTGTTGATCTATTAGTCACTGTCTGACGGTTTGTAGTGAAATTGGCCTTTTAGATGTGGATCATAAAGGGACAGCGGCTGAGAGTATTGAAGCCGAGAGGAGAAACAAAGCAATGAATGAAGAAAACAAACAAAAAGAAACTTTTTTATATATTAATCTCTAAAATAATTTAATATCCATCTTCTCTTAAAGTTAGACTCGCTGACTGGTACCTGTTTTTTTGCAATTAAGTTTTTTTGTGACATTATCAGTTGGGATGCCCAGATTACCAGTAATGAACCGATACCATATTAGCACCAGTTTTTATCTCTTATCTCATTGCTTTATCCAATTATTTTCAGTGAAGTAGACAATTATAGTCAACAACAGGAATGAGAACTGACCCATGTATTATTAACTAGTAGGTTACATACATTTTAGGCTTAAACACAAGAAACATTGACATTAAGTTTCATTTTATTCAATGTAAATAACAATTTAGCACCAAGCTGCTGTTGCCTTGATTCTGTTTGCTCTGGGCACGGAGACAAACCCTGCTGGATAGAGACCCTGAAGTGGACTAATGATGCTATGCTTCTTTCAACATGTTTATATCAAATATTTTAGATGCAGACAGATATTTAATTTTGGGCTGATATCATTATCAGATTAAGACATCCCTAATTATTAGTCATGTCAGCGACATTCTTCATTTATAGAACAAGCAATAAGTACATGTTCTCTTGTTTTTATCACATTGCCGCGTCTAATTATTGTTGTTTATTTTGCAGGCTACGCCTTCGTTCACATGGAGAATAAGGAAGATGCTCTTCAGGCAATCGAGGCTTTGCACGGTACGTCGTTTAAAGGCCGGCCGCTGTCCGTAGAGCTATCAAAGGTCCAGCCCAGCAAGCAGACACCCACTGGGAAGATCCCATGTGTTAACTGCGGGAAGCAGGGCCACTATGCTGGAGAATGTCCTGTGGGGAAGCCGTCTTTAGAGCAGTACCAGAGTCAGGCCGCGGTCTTGGCTGCTGCTGCGGCTGCAGCCGCCGGCCTGCCTCTGCAGGTCCAACAGAGCGTGCACAATTCAGTCTACAACACCTCCACCTTTGACCCCACTTATGCAGCTCTCACCGGCATCACCACAGGCACACGCACTGACGGAAACCCGGTGAATCCAGCCGTGTACGGGGCCCTCGCCAGCCAGGTGTATGGTGCTAATGTTGCCAATCAGCTATATGGGAGCATGGCGAACCAGGCAGCTTTGACATCAGGTGCCACACAGATGTACGGCTCGGTGGGGCCTAATATCTACGGCCAGGTGGCCGCATCGCCTGCAGCTGCTGCTGCCGCGGCAGCGGCCGCTGCTTACACAACTCCAGTTTACACCCCAACTGTCGGCAACCATCATTTGTACCTGGCAGCTGCTCCTGGAATAGAGATGCAAGCAGCCGCTTCGGTGAACCCCGCTTACTCTGTAGCTTCGGCCATTTACGGCGCTCCCGCACCGGCCTACGCTCACATCGGCACCATGGGAGCAGCAGATCCCACCGCAGCCCTGTTTGAGGCTGCCAGGCAGGCTCATTACTTCGCCCAGGGTCAGCAGGTCGTGGCTGATCAGCAGTCGGCCGCCGCGGCGGCAGCTGTAGCCAAGTCTGGAGAAAGAGACCGCAGTCCCTTGCGCCGGTCGGCACCTCTTCTGCCGGACCCTGTGATGAAGCCGTTTATATACCAGAGGGCCAAACCGCGCAGACCTTTGCTCCCAACACCAGCTGGCCGTGCAGCGGAGGAGGCGGCAGAGGCAGCAGAGGACCCGATGGCCAGGTGGGACATCGCTAACGATGATTTATCATCAACCTTCAGTGTCTTCTCTACAACCTCTCCCTTCTATCCCTTTTGACTGTAATCGCTCTTCTGTGCCAGGTACTACGCCGAGTACTACCAGCAGCTGCAGCAGTACCCGCAGTTCCAGTACGCCTACCCGTCGAGCACAGTGGCAGCCATCGCCGGCATGCAGGGAGTCCCCGCCATGTCTGCCCAGCCAGTCGCTACGCTGGAAGCCCTCAGGCCAGTGGTCCCCACCGCCGCTGCTGTGGCAGCTGCCATGGCTGCGCCCAGGGTGTATGAGCCGCCGTTGCCGCCGCCTACACGCAAGGAGGCCATCCTCCACCGCCCCGAACTCTCCCTACACACGCCTGAGCCCCCCTTCCGATAGTTGCACTCAACTCTCTGCCCCTCTTTCCCCCTCTTTGCCCTGATCCCCTCACCCCTCTACATACCTTTTCCACTCAAACTTGACCACCTGTGTATGTATGTCTGTGTGCGTTTGTGTCCCTGGGAACTGGCTGGGGGTGGGCGGAGTTGAAACCGTGGGCCGCCGGGCTTATTAACTGGCTTTAGAACCGCTAACCTTGGTCCAGTTTGCATAACCACGGTGCAGCTTTGAAGACAGGCCTTCATCTATTTTTATGGGCATTCTTTGAGCTTTTCCGTTTCGCCGTTTTCTCGTGCCAGTCTCCCACCTTGTGCCAGTATTAGACTGAACGAGTCAGTCGTTTCCTTTGCCTTTATTTCCGCAACACCAGTTATGGTTTCTAGGGCCAAATCTCCAGTAAATCACATCAGCCATTCTACGTAGGCCTAGACGATCAGGTAGGGCAGCTAATCTGAAGCCTTTTTTCGCCTTATGCTGATGAGTTTAGATTTGATTTGTTCTCAGAAGGGAGGTCGTTCACACAGATGGTGTACCGGCTGCATTGTACCGTGTCCAACAGAACCAAGGTTAATGTATTGTGGGGGAGTTTTTTTTTTTTTTTGTCCTGGTTGCGACGTGGATGCTGTGCGTGTGATTGTGTGAGATGTGCTGACTCCTGACTCATCAGTGCACAAAAGTGCAGCTAAGACTGCACTTTGTAGAGTTAAAAAAAAGAAAGAAAAAAAAACGTAAAGCACAGATATACGTACTGTAATGTTTATTGGTATCTATCCTTGCCCCCCTCCTCTGAATCCCATTCTCTCCTTGAATCTAAAACGCTGAGAAGACACTGCTTCACCTCTTCCTCCTCCTAACTACAGCTGCCTACCTCTTACTGTAAATCTCAGTGTAGATTGTATTTTGTTCTGTACTTTTCCACACATTTCATCCACCGTCAGCATTTGAAGCTCTTTGTAAAAGCTGCGGCAGTCTGGAGACTGGGTAGCTAAACTTCATTTTCTTTTTAATGTATAGTATTCGGTCCTCTTTCATGTTCAGAGGCCTTTTAAAACAGCAACAAGTGTAAATAGTCTGTTTCCATCGTTCGTTTACATGTGAATATAATGACTTTTAAATGGGAGAAACGATGTGTAACCATTGAAAGAATTAACTTTGAAGTGCATCCTTTTAGAAACCAGGATTATATGTGACAAGGTCATTTTTGTGCCTAAAAGCCTTTAGTGAAGTGCATTAAGTGGAGGAATCTCCCATTTTTTTAAGTGCTTTTATTTTCCTTTTTGAGTCATTTCAAGTAACGTAAACGGGAGCCCAAGGGCTCAGAATCCAGAGGGCTACAAGTGGTTAAGCTCCCACTCCTGTTGCAGGTCTGTTTTTATCGCAAATGGTTTATAAAAGCCACAAAAAGCGGCCCTCAGAGGTTCGTTATAAGCCTTTGGTTTTTAAGCAGAAACAGCAGTGATAGCACCAATGAAGTGAGAGATGGGGCAGTGTCTCTCAGTGGCCCCCAAAAACATCCAACCCTTTCTTCATCTGATACCGTTTCTGCTTCATATCCTTACTCTGAAAATGTATTAAAGTAGGTTGTAGTTTACTTGTTAAATCTACAGTTCCTCGTGGAAAAAAAAAAAGCATCGCCATACCCTTGTAATTTAGTCAGTTTTATAACCATAAACTTCTATGTATTTTATTGGAATATATCTGATAAACCAACACAAAGTTTGACATAATTTTACCTATAGCTCCTCCCATCTTTTTTTCATACTCCAAACAGCTTTTCTGCCTTGAATAAGGAAAAGCATGCCCACAGCATGATGCTCCCACCGTTAGAATGTATCTATTTTATAGCATTTTGCAGATAGGGCAAAATGTTACGCACCACCTTTCATATATGTGCTGTGTTCCTTTGCATGGCTTCTTGCAAACTGCAAACATGACTTCTTATGAATTCTTTTCAACAATAGCTTTCTTTTTGACCCTCTTTCATAAAGAACAGTTTTTTATTTTGTTTGACTAATAGTTGTTTTACCGACAGATTCTCCCACCTGAGCTGTGGCTCTCTGCAGCTCCTCCAGAACTACCATGGGCCTATTGGCTGCTTCTCTTAGTCCTTCCTATTAGTTTAGGTCGATTGCCATGACATATGAATGTTAAACATCTAAAGCCGGGGTCAGCAACCTTTGTGAAGCTGAGAGCTACTTCATGGAGTCAAACGAAGGGCTACTAACACTGACCTATGAACTGGAAGTGTCAGCATTCACCTAAACTTGATGTACGATAAGCAGATTTGTAGATATTGTCACTTTTAAATCCCCAAAAATGCAAGTGTGATTGAAAACGAAAAGCAACAAAATAAAATATCAATTTTAGACGCAGCTCACTGGTGAGTTGTTCTATTTTTTAGAAGATGATTGATTGGTCCTTAAGGGCACTGCGTTGGTGACCCCTGATCAGAAAAGATTTATTTCTCTTGATTATTACTACAGGTGCGTTAAGTTATAAGCTGGCTTTCCAATTTAATTGGTTGGCTTTGAATTTTAAAATTCCAGTTTTCTCCACTTTATAATTATGTTCTACTTTGTGTTGATCTATCACAAAAAAGAAAATGTATTACATAAAAATTAGTGGTTAAAAGGTGAAGGAAGTATAAGGGGTATAAATAGCTTTGTAAGGCGCTGTAGATGGAGTTTACGGCATTATAGTTAGTTAGAACAACCTGAAAAGGTTGATTTAAACGTGTTGATACTTTTTACATTGATGCCAAAGTCCTGAGTGGCAACTTTTATCTTGATTTACACTCAGTACGTTTTATTTTATTTGTTGTACCTGCTGTTTAACAGTAGACCGACGCACAAACAGAACAGACCTTCTGAAATCACCCGACTGCCTCATCGTTTCCCGCCTCCCCTCTCCTCCTGTGGGTTTTTCTTTAGTAGCTATAAGTGACTTTTGCATCTCAAAGTGTAATCTTTCAGTGTCGTATATATACACACATAAACACATATATATACATATATATAAAAACATACCAGTTGCATCCTTTGTAGAATTATGTGGTTTACAAAAAATGATTTGTTTGCCATGTGTTTTGTTTTTTTAGAGAAAAAAAAAGTATTTTGATTTAGTCTTTTTTTATAGAACGGTGGAGAAAAAAAAACATCAGCATGCCTTTTACTGAGAAAATGTATACTTTATTATAATGACATGAATAAAGAATGTTTGGCTGACTACTGTGGTGAAAGAAAGCAAAGGGTTTGGACATTTCGCCTTCTTTTTGTTTATGTTCCTCTTCACTATCTGTCTCTCTTGTGTAAAATGACCACCGGACCCATTTGACTGGGGATCCAGGGGGAGGCAGGTGTAGATGCTGGCCCAGCTTTGCTCACTTTGGTCAGGGTAAGTGTGGATAGGAGCTCCTTCCTCTCTCCAGCCTCTCAAACAGGAATGTATAGAAAAATCATTGCTTAAAAAAAACCCCAAAAAATAAATAAATTTGACTTCAAAGCATCTATAGACTCAGTAAAACTGCAGTAATGGCTGGGGAGAGGCTCACAGATAGAATGGCCTGGGTGCATTTTGATCTGTGGAGCAGTCCCTCTCTTGGGGTTTGATGGGTGTGCGTCTGGTCTGGTCCAAGTCTGGTCTCTTTCTCCCTGCTGCACCGAATTCTCCCCTTTTCGTGTGTCTCTGTGTTCAGTAAACTCTCAGACCTGCATGTGTGATAATCTGTAATTCTGCCCCAAGGTAAAACACAGAAAGAAAAAAAAAAGCCCAACTCCACAGTCCAGCTCTGAACTAACTATCTCAACTGAATTAGGTCACCATGCTACCTGGAACACGGCCTCGCGTGAGCCATGGGGACGACTTTTAGCGCGACACGCCACCGCAGCGGAAACTTGTTGTCTCTCTTTCTCTTCACCAGCAAGGTAAATCGACTTGAATACAACAAAAAGAAATTACAGCACTGACCTCTCCTCTCCCTAAATGCCCCTCCCCCTCTCCTCACTTTCCTCTGACTGTGGCTTGATGCAACACCTCCCCTTCCCCGCCTTCCTTCCCTCCACCATCACCACCTCCCCCACTCTCCTCCGAGTCCGTAATGTGTCTTACTGCATCGGCAGTGTTTGTACCTGTAGCTTGGGTATTCTCCTCACTGGGAGTGATGGGCCGGCTAGGGTGGGGCGGGGTTAAGGACCCCTCAGTAGGACCGATCCCGTCCTGCATCAGCATCTGAGCCTGTACCATTTGTTTGGGTGGTGTGTGAGCTGGTGAGGGAAAGGTGTCTGTGTGTGCTTGTGTGTGCCAAAATATAAAACTGGAGACTTTGGGCGCCATTTCATTGGTCAGGGAGGCTTGGCGTAAGTGGACGCATCCCGAACCCATCCCCTTGCCAGCTAATCAGCTCCTGTCCACCGCCGTATTCGCCGCCCTCAACCCTCTTCACTCTTCCTTACCTCCTCCCCTCCTTTCCTACCCTCACCCCCCCACCCCACTGTCCCTCTTTGCGCATCTCCTCACCTCTCCGCCGATTACGCACACAGCGCTTTTTTATATAACCCGCCGCCACCGTCTCCACCTTGGATCTTGGTTCCATCTCTCTGGCTAGGACTCAACTTCCCCAAAACACCTCCCACCCATCCCCCTTTGTTACCATAGAAACACAGGCGTGCCAAAAGGACGTTGCATTTGTGGCGGCCCGCCTTTTTTGACTTTGTCCTAAGACACCGAAAGACTTCAGTGCTTGAGGAGTTGCTTTGCTACAGCTGTTGAGTGTTGGTTGGGCATAACGTGGCTATGGCAGGGATATGAAGGCAACATGTGATGTTAACACATCTAAAACTAAAGAAGGGAAGTTTATTTCCCTCAGAGTAACCTGGGTCAAACAGAAACGTCCTATAAGAAAGGCCCACAGGCCACTCGGACCTGCAGATTCTGATCAATCTCAGGGTTCCTATAGGACTTTTTTGCTACAACCTCTAAGGAGGTTGTTCTTACCTGCTAGTAACAGAGGTAGAGGGTCGTCCTCATACACAGGCCAGTTTTTATTTTAAGCATCTGCCAGAGTTGTAGGAACTGCTTACAAATTCCCTTTGAAGCACCCCTTCCAAGGTCCTCCATGTTTTTTCCTTCACTTTGCCAGCTCCCCATTAAATGCTTCTACTGGCGCTTGTGAGCTGGGGCTTAATCCATGCTTGGGTAAACGCACTCCTGCATCTCGTAAAAAAAAAAAAAAAACAGGAAGCAAACCAAACCCCGCTCTAAAATTGGCTGCACTGCATCGCTAGCCAAAGCTCACTGCAGCCCCCTTCAACCTACCCCCACACCCAACCTCCTTCTCCACCTCTTTGTCTGTCGTTTTGCCCAGAGAACTTGCATGTGCAGATTATGCACGGGACTCTTTTTTGATGGAATCCTGAATTTTATGTCTGTCCTTCTGCAGAGGTTGGCATCTGAGAAATGCAGCTAAGTGCAGACTGGTAAACGGTTAATTTTGGTAAGATTCAAGCAAAGTGTATGAAGGGCCAAACGTGCCAAAATCCAGTTTCATTTATCTATATTTTCTATCTATTTTTTTTTTTATTTATTACTTAAATTATTGATTGAAATCTAAAATCAGTAAAAGTTCAAATATAACTGATATATTTTAGCAGTCCTTTCACAATTCCAGTAAGTTTAATCATTAATAAACATGTCATCATGGCCTGAGATTCTCTGACATCTGATTGGTCTGAGGAGAAACCTCTTGAGCAAATTAACCAGTCGCATTTAACTAGAGCACTGTTAGTCCTGCCCACTTATGAAACATGGCAGGTCTACTTAAAAAACAAAAAAAAAACAATTGCTAACCTTGATGATAAATGGTAATGAGATTTAAAAAAAAAAATTTATGACATAATCACTGTGGAACAGAACTATACAAAAAAAATCTTACTTTTTGATTAATATTTATTGTATTTTCTATTTCAGTTACTTATTTATACTTTTTTTTCTTCCATTAATAATTTAAATTTGGCCCTCCATAAAACCCAGTCAACTGACATCTTGCAGCTTATAACAATGCTACTTCTCTAGAACAAATAAATCTAAATGAGACCAGAATGATGCACATAGTGGTTAGGTCAAACCTCTTGACTTTTTTTTTTGTTCACCTAAGGAGGGAGACTGATAAAGTTGCAAAAAGTGCTGTAGTTTATACATAATGCAAGTATTATTTATACTTTAATGTAGCCAAATGAACAATTTACAGCAAAAACCTGATTAGTCGGGACTTTCAGACGAGCTGTTTTTATGATGCAGACTTAATATGTTTACAGTGGTCAGATCAGACATTTCAACTGTTTCCAGCCTCATGAGAGGAGCAGTAATGTAACCACTGAGCTCCCTATTGTAGGTTAATGGACCAAGCTTACTGTAGTTACATCAGATGTTTGATTAATTACCATAGAAACCATTCTAGATTCCAAAGACATAAAGGGTGACTTAGTAATTTGTTATCTCAAGAGGAAAGGAATGTTGATTGGCCCATTTTAAAGCAATTACAGTTAGCACAAAGCTGAATGTTGGGTGGGAGCGATTCATTCTTTAATGTTAGATCAGACACTCATCATGTTTACTGTGAATGACAAATCCTGATATAGATACAAGTTATATTGTATGGTTGTGTATTCACATATATATATATGCCTTTTAAACTGTATTTCTGAAAAATGTTTCTTTTTATTTGCATGCAATTATGAATAAAAACTTTTTTCCATCACAGTGCCTGGATGATTCTTTCAGAAGGAATAATTAATATAAAGTATATATTAAGCATCTGTTTTACATTAAAGCAGTGTGAAATAAGGTATTTCAGCTGCTGTAAGTGAAACACAATTCCACACCTGGTTTACAGGAGTCTAAATGAAATGTATTATCCAAATGTATTTATACCGACATTGTTGTGTTGTAAATACAGTTTTGTGTGTAAATTTTGCTTGCTTGGAAAATGGTGCTTAGTGTTGAATTGGAATGAAAAATAACACTTTGCTTTCCATTTTTTTTTTCAACAAAAGTTTTCAAGTGTGATGCAAAACTTGGATTTAGTCACCTTTATTTCCCACATAACATTCAAACACCGAATTAGAAATTATGGTGTTATTTATATTTGTTATCCACTCTGCATAGATATAAATAGCTCCATCTTTGTTTGAACAAAACAGATATCACAAAGTGTCGCAATAAAATTTCGATTTAATTCACATGTCTGCAATCAATATCATGAGATAATATCTGCCCATCGACTGCTTCTTAAAAACACTCAAATTTAGTATAACATTTAATTTTTTCCATTATAACAGGCACATGGTATTTAAATTAATAACAGCATTCTGCTTGTAAATAAAAGATCACCTGTGTTCACCTATGTTAAAAGTAAAGGCACGTCTTAATGATGAAGACGGAAAGAGCATTTCATTTTTATTTTATTTTATTGATGTTAATGGATGGTTGATTATTTGATCGATGCATGGCAACACCCCCTAATGAATGGCTTATAGGTTTGTATTAAAAATTAATGAAAAAATCAGCCTCATAAAAAATACAACAGATGTGGAGAGGTATACACTGAGAAAAATAACATTTACTTAGAAAAAAGTAACTTTTTCTACATAGAAATTCTTTTATGTCAAGAAGAGTTAAGTTAACAAAAAATCTCAACAAAAACAAAATTTTTCTTAAAAGATTTACTTTGGTTTTGCTAGTACTTTTCACAGAGAGGCAACCATGCACACCAAAGGAGAGTCAAGAGAATCCAATTAACCTGACAGTCGTGTCTTTGGACTGGGGGAGGAAGCCAGAGTACCCAGAGAGAACTCAGGCATGCACAGGGAGAACATGCAAACCCCTTACTGAGAGACCCACTACCCGCGATTGAACCCAGCACCTTCATGCTGACAGTTTTACAAACTGCAGCCTACAAGGAAACAATATTGTCTATTTCTGACCTAAACATGGTTGGGCAAGGAAAAAAGCACCAAGTTTCCTGACTTAACTTATTTTAATTGTTTTGCTAATACTATTTGTAAGATTAATTTAATGTACTTATCTTCTGATGGATATAGATTTACTAATTAATTCTAAGTTACATTTAATAAAAGGTGTCATTTTGAAGTAAAGGCGCTTACATGGCTATTGGGAGTAAATTTATCCAGGTAATATTTACAGGACCAAAAAGTCCCTCTTTTCAGTGCAATTTGAAGATTTCAGAAAGCAGCGGCAATCTATCCATGGTAGATCTGGATGAGCTGCAGAGATTAACAGCTCAGGTAGGAGATGTTTTTTTTCCTATGGGAGACCTAATTAAATGATGGACTAAACATGTGGGGGAAATCTAACACTATACTTAGCCTCTACCACATCATCCCCCAGGTTGGTGGCAGCATCTCTTGTGTTTCTTATCAGCAGATGGATTGAGAAAATAAACACAGGGAAAAAATTCCTAGTCGTAGTGTAAAAAATAAAATACTCAAATACATCGTTCTTTTAAGATCTTGATTGTTGATTGAAACACCTTATATGAGTGTATTTTTTTTTACCAACAGTCCAATAAACTATATACAGTTATTAACATAGTAATTAAAAGTACCACTGTCTGCTTTGCTATTGGTGTCGTGTTTAAACGGCTCACCATCGTGTTGAAATCTGCCATGTGTTGGGGTACAAATAAGGTCCAGTCAGCCATCTTAACATCAGGTGGGTTTTAAGAGGAATTTTTCACACCATTGCGTATGCAATAAGACATCCCATACTTAGTCCATAATTCCGAAGGGGACCTACCGTCCTATACCATAATTGCATCCTATACCATAATTGCAAAGGGGACCTACCGTCCTATACCATAATTGCGAAGGGGACCTACCGTCTTATACCATAATTGCGTCCTATACCATAATTGCGAAGGGGACCTACCGTCTTATACCATAATTGCGTCCTATACCATAATTGCAAAGGGGACCTACCGTCCTATACCATAATTGCATCCTATACCATAATTACAAAGGGGACCTACCGTCCTATACCATAATTGCATCCTATACCATAATTACAAAGGGGACCTACCGTCTTATACCATAATTGCGTCCTATACCATAAGTGCAAAGGGGACCTACCGTCCTATACCATAATTGCGAAGGGGACCTACCGTCTTATACCATAATTGCGTCCTATACCATAATTGCGAAGGGGACCTACCGTCTTATACCATAATTGCGTCCTATACCATAATTGCAAAGGGGACCTACCGTCCTATACCATAATTGCATCCTATACCATAATTACAAAGGGGACCTACCGTCCTATACCATAATTGCATCCTATACCATAATTACAAAGGGGACCTACCGTCTTATACCATAATTGCGTCCTATACCATAAGTGCAAAGGGGACCTACCGTCCTATACCATAATTGCATCCTATACCATAATTGCGTCGGGGAACTACCATCCTATACCATAATTGCGTCCTATACCATAATTGCGAAGGGGACCTACCGTCCTATACCATAATTGCGTCCTATACCATAATTGCAAAGGGGACCTACCGTCCTATACCATAATTGCGTCATATACCATAATTGCGAAGGGGAACTACCATCCTATACCATAATCGCGTCCTATACCATAATTGCGAAGGGGAACTACCATCCTATACCATAATTGCGTCCTATACCATAATTGCAAAGGGGACCTACCATCCTATACCATAATTGCGTCCTATACCATAATTCCGAAGGGGACCTACCGTCCTATACCATAATTGCATCCTATACCATAATTGCAAAGGGGACCTACCGTCCTATACCATAATTGCGAAGGGGACCTACCGTCTTATACCATAATTGCGTCCTATACCATAATTGCGAAGGGGACCTACCGTCTTATACCATAATTGCGTCCTATACCATAATTGCAAAGGGGACCTACCGTCCTATACCATAATTGCATCCTATACCATAATTACAAAGGGGACCTACCGTCCTATACCATAATTGCATCCTATACCATAATTACAAAGGGGACCTACCATCTTATACCATAATTGCGTCCTATACCATAAGTGCAAAGGGGACCTACCGTCCTATACCATAATTGCATCCTATACCATAATTGCGTCGGGGAACTACCATCCTATACCATAATTGCGTCCTATACCATAATTGCGAAGGGGACCTACCGTCCTATACCATAATTGCGTCCTATACCATAATTGCAAAGGGGACCTACCGTCCTATACCATAATTGCGTCATATACCATAATTGCGAAGGGGAACTACCATCCTATACCATAATCGCGTCCTATACCATAATTGCGAAGGGGAACTACCATCCTATACCATAATTGCGTCCTATACCATAATTGCAAAGGGGACCTACCATCCTATACCATAATTGCAAAGGGGACCTACCATCCTATACCATAATTGCGTCCTATACCATAATTGCAAAGGGGACCTACCGTCCTATACCATAATTGCATCCTATACCATAATTGCAAAGGGGACCTACCGTCCTATACCATAATTGCGAAGGGGACCTACCGTCTTATACCATAATTGCGTCCTATACCATAATTGCGAAGGAGACCTACCGTCTTATACCATAATTGCGTCCTATACCATAATTGCAAAGGGGACCTACCGTCCTATACCATAATTGCATCCTATACCATAATTACAAAGGGGACCTACCGTCCTATACCATAATTGCATCCTATACCCTAATTACAAAGGGGACCTACCGTCTTATACCATAATTGCGTCCTATACCATAAGTGCAAAGGGGACCTACCGTCCTATACCATAATTGCATCCTATACCATAATTGCGTCGGGGAACTACCATCCTATACCATAATTGCGTCCTATACCATAATTGCGAAGGGGACCTACCGTCCTATACCATAATTGCGTCCTATACCATAATTGCAAAGGGGACCTACCGTCCTATACCATAATTGCGTCATATACCATAATTGCGAAGGGGAACTACCATCCTATACCATAACCGCGTCCTATACCATAATTGCGAAGGGGAACTACCATCCTATACCATAATTGCGTCCTATACCATAATTGCAAAGGGGACCTACCATCCTATACCATAATTGCGTCCTATACCATAATTGCAAAGGGGACCTACCATCCTATACCATAATTGCGTCCGATACCATAATTGCAAAGGGGACCTACCGTCCTATACCATAATTGCATCCTATACCATAATTGCAAAGGGGACCTACCGTCCTATACCATAATTGCGAAGGGGGCCTACCATGTGTCAGTGACGGGGCCCCTAAGAGGTCGGGGCCTCTAAGCAACTCCAGTATGCAATGAGATGTCCTAGTCCATAAATGCGAAGGGGGCCTATCTATCTATCTATCTATCTATCTATCTATCTATCTATCTATCTATCTATCTATCTATCTATCTATCTACATACATATAAATAGATTTATATAAATATATATCCATATGTATTTCATAAATTGAGGAACATTTTAGTGAAAATATCTTTATTTTTCTAAAAAAAAAATTCAAATTCCAGATTTTTCTTGGCACTCTTTTTTTGTAATGTTTCCTCTGAAAAGCTGCATGAAGCTAAAGAGGCCTGGGTTTACCATTGGGGATCATTAACAGCGACAGGTGCATTACAAGGGCCATAAACTCCCCCATGTTGAGAGGAGGTGTGATTGACACACAGCCACACCACTCACAATCCAGTTATCTCCGTCTGCAGGGGATCACCCCGCCTTTCAGGCCCTTTTAGGTCCAGAACCTGACACCCAAGATGTAAGGTCCCATACTTATTGGGGTGCCGTCACGTGTGCCACTTTTGACCAGGAAAGGAGCACCGCTCAGCAGGGTCTTCTGTTAGTGGGAGCACCACCTTCGCACAGCCACCTCTCACCAGAGGAGTCTGGTCTCCGCAGTCCCTAACTGCCTCTCCCCTCGTCGTGGTCTCTTGTGCTGATCCTATTTTTTGATAATATAATCTGAGGGGGACTTGTGAAGTCCTAACAGAGGCGGAACGATGACAGCTATCGAAAGCCAAATGACATATAACAGCTCCTATACGATCCAACATGAAGAAACGTATATGACCCAGGAGGACGACTGGGACAGGGACCTGCTGCTGGATCCTGCCTGGGAGAAGCAGCAGAGGAAGGTAGGGTTGGATGTGTGTCCCCCTCCCCTCCCTTGGCAGCGGGATGGGGCCTGTGCTGCTGTGCGTAATTACGCACTGATTTGCGCCTTGCACTTATTTACACCTAACTGAGTGGTGTCTCTTTGCATGTTTTTGAATTTTAATGCAGTTTGCTTAAAAAAAATAAGTTTCAGTATTGCCTTTAAATTTTTTTTAACAGTACAATGTGATATGATTCAGCTGCGCCTTGTGGTCTTCCAGCACCTGGCACTTCAGTGGGCAGATATTTTAGGCCGTGGAACTTTCTCAGTGTTGTCTTTCAGTTACCCCGGAGTGCCTTACAGACTGTCTAAATTTAATACCCACCCTCTCATTTCACGTTTTTGTTTCTTTTAGAGACTTTAAGAGTGACATGTTAACGTTTTACACTGACCAAGATACAAAAAAGATAACGGTTTGAGATGTAGACCAAAAAAAAAAGGTTAACCCATTGATATTAAAGTTGGACCTAATTTTACTAAGATAAATTATCAGCATTTCTAATCAAAAACGACTTAAAATTGATCTATGAAAAATAAAATTCAATAACATATATTTAAATTAATTGAATATTGGATGGCTAGCCATTATTTAAATGGCTGACCACCAGTTACCATGGCAACTATTCCTTTTTACAGGTGTGTATGATGAGTTTGAATCCCCTATTCATCATAGGCCTATTTTATACTGTAGGCCTAAAATGAAAGTTGACTTTAACTTTTGTTTTATTTCCTCCTAACTTTCCGTGTGTGTGCTTGATGTTGAGTTTGCTGGTTGCTACCTGGTCTCCATGTTTGATGGTTCCATTCCTGTAGGAGGGACCAGATCCTTGATCCACCCATCAGTTCCTGGAGTCCGAGCTGAAAATAGCCAACCCGGTGAATCATTACTCATGGTTCAGGAAATACCATTAAGGTTTATCTAATCAACAGAACAGGGCTTTCAATCAAATAAAACGTTTTGCAGCACAGACGTAGTTTCAGTTTTGTTTCAAACTCACCTGACATCTTGTTGAATTGAGTTGGCATGTCCAGTGTCCAAAGAAATGTGCATTTCTTTAAGAGGTTCTTTAAAGCAAGGCCATTTTTAGGGTAAAATTTATCTAAAATTTCTGTCTTTCCATTCAATTTATGTTACAAGCAACGATAAAACTAAAGCATTTGATGTCTGTAGAAAAGCTAAACTATATTTTGAAATTGTACCAATATAAGTGGTTCTAGATACAAATCTTCAGATGGTCATACATTTTAAGATTATGGACTCTAAATTTTGCATGGCTAAAAAACATGATCTTATGTATCTGAATGGTGGATTGTTCTTATTTATCCTATGGGATAAATAAAGTATTATTTGAATGTAACTTGAGATTCCTCTTTAAAATCAGACATTATCCTGGTAAATAAGAAAAGTTAATATGGAATGCCTTTATCTTTTTGTTTTCATGTATTCATGTGATTTTATTAGATCCATTTTAAAGATCATAATGACCAAATATTGCGCCTCATTTAACTCTGCACAATCTTTCAAATACTGTCAGTACTAATCTCTAAAAAGACAATGCAGCTCCAACTTAAATGAATGGCTTTAATTGATAAGAAATCATTAAATCAAATTGATTCAACAAACTTTTTTTTTTGTTTATAAGCTGCTAAGATTAAAACAATAAGTTGGGCAAAATTAGCTCTATTGCTTGTTAGCAGTTGAAGCAATTCATTTAAGTTGGAGCTGCATTTTCTTTTGCATATTTTTTCAAAGAAATAGAGACTAATATTTTTTATAATCACAATTTTTGCGTCATTACAAAAAATTAAGATGAGTTGTAAAATAAAGTTCAAAATTTCTAAGTGGAAATTTATATTTTTATTAAGTTTTAAGTCACATAAGCTGATGTTTTAATATTTCACATTTGAAACAGTAGTTAGACTTCATGGGTTCTCAGATTTTAATATTAAAGGACATATATTCATACAAGAGTAGTTTGATTTAGTTTTATTGTTGCCATAAAGAGCTGCTGGTGCAACAATCTCATTTCTTAATTAAAATTTTAAGTGTGACATGTTTTTTTTTTTTAACTGTAGTGATCTGTAAAAGCTTCTATCTGTTTAAAATGCCCCCCGCCTACAGAGCACAGTGACAGGCTGAGAGACCTCAACAGATGGTGGTATATAGACCTGGGGTTGGTTTCACCAACCTCCAAATAAACATCATCCTAAAAATACTTATTTAACTTGCTTGGCACCTAGCTGCCTCTCTCCTACCCCTCCTTCCTTCTTACCTTCACCTTTAACTTCTCCCTTTATCATGTTGAACACTGACATACTCTACAGTTATTGAAATATCTCCTCATGTATTGTCTTATAATTGGCTCTGAGTGTTAAATCTCTATTGCAAAGCTTTAGGTGTTCCCCTTGTGACCCCCCAGGGGAACAAGTCATGGTACTCCACGGCACTTCTCGGCATGTCAAATCCAGCTTAAGGAGCTGATATCAGCCCGTATATATAGCAAGTGCATCATTTTGCAGTGTAATGAATGTGAAAGGAAAGCCTTCCAGCACCTGTTGTCCCTTCAATCCTTGAATTCAGTGGAAAGAAAAGAAAGCTGACCGGTATTTGATGAGGTAGTAAAGTGTTTGTCAACACACAGTGATGTCGAATCCGATACCAAGCATCAGAAAATGACGCACGCTTGGTAATGTCCGTGCCTCCCAATTCATGCCAGTTGGTTTATTTTTACCCTGAAGCGTCTCTTTTAGATTGCATGGTGCATTTATCCGTGACTTGTTTTGGACAAAGAGTTCAGCGTAATAAGAGTTGTGAAAAATTGTGCGAGAAATTGCATGTGGTAAAAGCTGCTTGGGAGGTGATGAAAGGATGCAGGAATGAGATCTGAGTGTGTCTCATCTAAGCAATCTTGTTCATCCAAAGCAGCCGAAGTCCTGGAATTAAAGAAATAAAAAAGGAACCCAATTTAAGCAGAAGCAAACAAGGCATAGAAGAGATGAAGAACCCCCAAAGCTTATTGATGTCCGACTCTCATTGATACCGAGCTGCTGCTGGAGCACATTTGCAACAAAAGTGATGTCTTGAAGCATAATCAATATCTCTCTAAAGTCAAACTCTCACTGAAATGCTCAATGCAGACAGTCTCTTTGTCTTAATCTGCCATCCTTTTAATTTGTCATGGTTTGTGTAATACATGCAATTAGTAAAGCCAGATCTCAACACACCCGATAAGTTCATCAGAGCGAGTGAAGTCATCTTCTGTTTCACATTGTTCAGGAGTTCAGCTGTTATCCTGCTAACTGAACGTCTCGCTGCTTGGTATAGCCTATGCTTGCAATAACCTAAAAATATCCATTACAGAGTAATCAACTGTCTTAATGGCTCAGACCTGCCTGTGGAGACAGTGAATGCTAAGAGTGAAAGCTAAAGCACACATTCAAATTGGTTTGAGTTTAAATTAAATACAGGAGATTTTAAATTATGGTCATAACTGGTTACATAATGAAGTTTGACAGGATGAAGTTTATTTTTACAAAAAAAAAAAAAATTTAAAACTCATGTAACGATTTCTTTCCATTTCAAAAATGCTCCAAATAATTGCAATAAAACAAATTAGAATAGTTTTATAAGTAGTATTATTTGGACTCTTATAGGTGTGCTATTATGATTTAAGGAGACATTAACCCGCTATTTAATATTTCCTATTTAATATTGTTTTGTCAACTTCAGATATTATTCCCCTCTTTAAATAAATCTCATTCAAAAGTCATTTAACATTTGGCTTTCGCTGAGTGCGATGAAAACAAAAGAATCAAAGCCGTCGAAAGGGAGTGATTATTGTTACCTTGTCGTGTTTTTTTCCCCATTATATTCAGAAATGTGATACTCACAGAGCATCCGCTCAGCCTGATGTAATACCCCTCTGTGGTGTGTAATTAAATCTGTGCTCATTTAATCTCATTTTGCACTCAAAACAGCTCGCCCTGCTGCGTAGAAGCCCTACAGAGTTATTGATCTATCATCCAATGCGGCACCAAACAACACCAAAGATATCGATCCTCTTCTTTTTATCCTGGGAGAGCATAATGTGTTGCTATTTTCCCTCTTTTCCTACTTTATGCAATGTCTACTAGTATTTCACCTGAGGAATTTACAATGAACAAAAGTAGGGGGTAAATTTTGCATGAATCTTCTTACCTCTATAATGAATTATTTCTTAAACTGCAAAAAATTGAAATCCAAGTCAATTTTTCTTAACATAAGCGTATTTTGATCAGGTAAGTGGAATCATAAACTAATGAAATAAGACAATTTATATTTAAAATAAGTCAAAAACAACTACTCTCCAAGTCTCCAATCGCAAATTTAATTTAAAGTGTATAAATATTCATTCCACTGGCAGATTGTCTCATTTATCTACTCAAATTAAGGGTAAACATGCTTAATTTAAGACATTTCACAATTTTTACATAATTTTTGCAATGTAAATGATTTTATTTCATTCTGAAAACAACAGAGGCCATTTTATCTCCTTTGCTGATGTGTTGACGAATTATAGTTATTATAAATAACCATGTCTGTCATTGCGGGCAAGGATATCATGTTTAAAATATTGATTTAACAGAGAACAAATGATCAAGGAGAGAGCAATTAGCATCCCAATTGGTTAATTTGTAGTAGTGGTGCAGACATTCCAGGACTGATTTCTTAGATTTGCTTCCTATATACGTTTTACATCTGGGAATCATGAATCTGTCTCTCATGGTTAACTCAGGCAATACCAGGAAGTCTGAAGACAGTCAAGACAGTGTTAACTACAGGATTACAGGGGTTAACAGTAATGCATTATTTTTTTCTTCAACAGGAATCTAATATTAAGCACTCCACCGTCAACAGATGTATGATTTCATGCAGACTTTGATCTAAAATGCATCTAATGTAGCCGTAACAGCAAGCAAACTGCCAGCCTTTCTGTAGCT